GGAGCTACAGCCCCTCCCACCGCCTACTACCACGCCCTGTACCCCCGCGCCTGGACCGTGTACGACTTACCCGGGCAGAACATCACGCTAACATGTCGACAGGTGTCACCTGTGCTGCCACATGACTACAAGGTAACATTGAGCAATTCCATTATACGTGTACTTGCTTGTACACTTTAAGTTAGGTATTTGTTGGTCATAGTAAAATTTTGGTTGCCTAAATCATGAATAAAAAACAGTATGTTTGTTACTAGGTGTTGTCATCAGCCATAAGCCATTTCATATTGGTCATAGCTTTGCCAGTAGGGATTAAATCCCATAAACACTAAAATCCTATTTACACTGAGACCAAATGGAGCATGCGTTTTGTTTGAATGACCGCCAGCAACCCCAAATGGAACACATTCAGCTTTAATCCTATGCTCCATGAAAAGATTTTTAACTAGTACAACATTGTAGTAACAAGATCATTGTCTTATTCTTAACTTTCTTGCTATATAACAACAGAATGAAAGAAATATTGTCCTTCAATGAGATTACATGTCAGACATTAACATTTCCAGGATAGCAGCCTTCCTGCCGCTGTGTTTGTCTGGACCGCAGAGAATCATGGGAAGGAAGAGGTGGACATCAGCCTGATGTTCACCTTCCAGAATTCCATTGGAGCTGAAACCGACCTCTCGGGAGGTCACTGGAACGAACCATTTTCCGTCAATGAGGAGGGGGTCCACCCCGTATCAGGGATATTGTTGCATCACCAGCATAAGACGATGCCTTGCACAATCGCCTTAGGAATACCTCACAAGGTATGGAGAGGAGTGAGAGTTCTGAGGAGAGTTCTCTTGTGTACTTGTAACTTGTCTTTATCTTGGAATAAAAGTTACATTGTGACAGTAAAGATTTCTAACCACCCAGACAAGTGGTCTTCTTATACAAAAAGCATGGTGACAAGACAAGACAGAGAAGTAGTAAACCACAGCAAAATCTCTTTTACCTATAATTTTACAATAGACTATCCCATTAACCTACATGTATAGTGACCCAGATGGCACCCCATGTACATTGACTGTCATGCTTTCAAAATCAATGGCAAACTGGCCGATTCCATCAATATTTCTTGAAAATGACATGGTTGAATATCACAAAGATTGGGCCATGTCGATTCCAAATAGTGTCAGGTGCAGTAATGTTGGACAAATGGCAAGTCTGTAAATGCTTACATCAATCATGTGTCAATGGGGGAAAAGTTGGAATGAGAAAAAGCAGTCATTATGGCCAGATGGCCAGCTCATAGAGATGGTCACTTGGGCTAGTTTGACTGTACATCAGTTGAACATCGTCTTTTTTTTCCAGGACGGCATCAGAGTGACCGGGAGCACGTCGTTTAACCCAGCTGGTTCTGGGAAGGAGATCTGGAGAGATCTGATGTCAGACGGAGAGCTGGGGTCACCAGAAGGTAACCCTGTTACTACACACAATTGTGAAGACCATTAATTTAAAAGCCGTCCAATGCAATTTCAGGTTGGCAAAATGAAAAAAAAGAAATTTTCTGGATGAGGAAATCTGTCTGATATTGACATCTACTATCATTTCTTCGCACATTAATTTGCTTCTTGAAGTGTTTGAAAAAGCCTCAAGACAAGCTATGTTAGGCATCTCTTTATTTTTTGGTTGCCACCCATAAATAGCTTGAAGCTTAAGATTCAAAACAAGCAACCATTTTCCATCAGCAACATCACATTTTTGCCCCAAAGCTATCAGTATGCTATGGGACAGGATTTATTCAACTTAATACATTAAAAGAATGACAAAAAATTCACTTTGAAAATCCAGTAAGTTTGTCCCCTGAAATTGCATTGGATGTATCATTAAATTTCCTTATGTGGTTGAATGTGCTCAGAGATGATGCATGCAGATGTTCATGTCTGTCCACAGCCCCCACAAACAAGACAGTGAAAGGAGAAGCTCTGGCCGGGGCAGTCTGTGCATCCTTCAAGCTGCCTGCAGGTGGGAAACAGGACACGGAGTTTGCTCTGGCCTGGGACATGCCTGTCATCAAGTTTGGTGGGTCCTGTCGCACCTACAAGAGGTAAGTTAACACATGTACATGTGTCTCATACACATAATATGTATGTATGTATGTATGTATATAAATATATATATATATTGTCTGACAGTCACTTTGCTTTACCCAGTTGGACTTATTTTGCTTGCTGTGCATGATAGTTCACTATCAAGGAAAGGAAAAGGAAAGACCATATTTTTAGAAAGGTAATATTGGCAAAGCAAATGCATGCATAATGTTTACCATCACATTTGGTCTGCTCTCTTAATTCTTATTCAAACACATTCATATGGATGGTGACAGGAGTCTAAATCACTCCTGCTATAAAACTGCAACATGATGTAACCCAATGCTAGCTACCATGGTGACAGATGTCTCGTTCTAGTCATTGACCTTTTGCCATTGGTTATCAGGCCGTAACCTAAAAAGTGGTCAGTTATTCTAATAACCGACTGTCTTGCTGTCCCAGGTGGTACACCCGCTGGTTCGGGGAAGATGGGACAGCCGCCCCCAGACTTGCTGCACACGCCCTCAGTCACTACACGGAGTGGGAGAGAACCATAGAGGAGTGGCAGAGGCCAGTTCTGGACAATCAGTGAGTTCCTCATTCAACTTAGATAGAGCGAAAGAGACAGAGAAAGAGAGAGGGAGAAAGAGAGAGAAAGAGAGAGAGAGAAGAAGAGAGAGGGAGAAAGAAAGAAAGAGAGAAAGAAAGAAGAAAAAAGAAAGGATAGAAAGAAAGAGAGAACGAAAGAAACAAAGACCAGTCTTGAATACATAATTCATTGTCTAAAGTGCAATGCTCCCCTGAGAGGGCCAGTATGGATGGGTGGATGGACGTATAAGAGTGATGACTAGTTAGGTGTTTAAGCCCCCAGTGTCACACATTCGGAAACTTCCCCCAACACACCAGCCGACTGAACTTTGGGAGCAGTCTGACCAAATATAGACATACACAAAATATAAATGTACCTGGCCAGCTTTGACAGGTTTGACTGTATATATATACTTGTCATTATGACAGCTAAGCCACATAATGCTATCTATCTGGTTGATTGTACATGGCCTGCTACATGTGTGTGCCTGTCCAGGTCGTACCCTGACTGGTACAGGTCTGCCCTGTTCAATGAGCTGTACTACATGTCGGATGGAGGGACCATCTGGCTGGTGGCGGAGGACAGTAGTGACGGACATGTGGAGAACAACCTGCCGCCATGGCTCAGGCAGAAAACTCCTGCTCACATCATGGAGTATGGCAGGTTCGGATATCTGGAAGGTACAATGTCATGTTTACAAAAGATTTCTAAGAATTGAACAGTCATAAAAATTGTCTTTGTCATGGCTACTTAGAAGGATATAACAGCCAAGCCCAAGGATTAAGGACATGTATGTTCCTATTAGGCCACACCAATTTAATTTGTTGGTTTTCGGATTTGAAAAAAAAACGAAGTGACACAGCAAAAAAAATGAAAATAAAAACAGGTCTAGGCATCCTATTATAGCCCCTAATCCTATGAGCCATGAAGTCAACACAAAAGGCTGGAGTAATATTTAAACAATTAATTTTGAACTTTTAATCACATAGCATTGATAGATGAAAAACTGTAACAACTAGGAACTGTTGGGGGGTAAAATATGAGCATATTTGAGTTGATTCAGAAACAAAATCTTTTTTTTTGCAAATCAGAAAAAATTAGAGGCAAATCCAAGAACCAACAAATTAAATTGGTGTGGCCTTAGATATTGCCTAGTGTTTAACCTTTTCAGACTACTTTCTCTGACTTTGCCGTCCTATTTTGTGTCTGTTCCAGGCCATGAGTACAGAATGTACAACACCTATGACGTCCACCACTATGCATCCTTTGCCTTAGCCATGCTGTGGCCTCAGCTGGAATACAGCATCCAATATGACTATGGTATAGTAGACTCAGCTTCTTATCAGTTTCAACAACTTCCCTTGAGGAAAAGCCCATTGGATTGGTACAGGGTACATGTAGATGGTAAACTGTTGAGAGAAAATCATAGTCTAATGAGACCTGTGCATACACCAAAGGGCTAAAGAATGCCCCTAAAAGAAGTCATATTTTAACAACATAACCAAGGATCAATGTGTGGTAACATGAAATGTACTATCCACTGAAACATACTGAACACCATCCACACACACAGACACACTTGTCCTTGGTGCTGAACACCATCCACACACAAACACACCTGTCCTTGGTGCTGAACACATAAACACCCAGGTTAACACCCTGTCCTTGGTGCTGAACACCATCCACACACAAACACACCTGTCCTTGGTGCTGAACACATAAACACCCAGGTTAACACCCTGTCCTTGGTGCTGAACACCATTCAAACACAAACACACTTATCCTTGGTGCTGAACACATAAACACACAGGTTAACAGCCTGTCCTTGGTGCTGAACACCATCTGCACACAAACACACCTGTCCCTGGTGCTGAACACCATCTGCACATAAACACACATGTCCTTGGTGCTGAACACATAAACACACAGGTTAACACCCTGTCCTTGGTGCTGAACACCATCCAAATATAAACACACCTGTCCCTGGTGCTGAACACCATCTGCACACAAACACATCTGTCCTTGGTGCTGAACACCATTCGAACACAAACACACTTGTCCTTGGTGCTGAACACCATCTGCACACAACCACACCTGCCCTTGGTGCTGAACACATAATCACACCTGTCCTTGGTGCTGAACACCATCTGCACACAAAGACAACTGTCCTAGGTGCTGAACACTATCCTCGCACAAACACACCTGTCCTTGGTGCTGAACACCATCCACACACAAACACACTTGTTCTTGGTACTGAACACCATGCACACACAACCACACCTATATTTTGAGCCTATTTTGAGCCCAGATCAGTGATGCTGCCATGGTTGTGTTGAAACAGCACTGACTATCCTGGAGGAGGACAGAAGTTGGCAGCCAGAGTTGTGGCATGGTGGCTGGATGCACAGGAAGGCCATCAACGCTGTACCTCACGACCTCGGCGATCCATGTAAGTTCAAACAGACAGGAAGCAAAGACAATGATGTCAACAAAAAAATCATGTTTTTTCTATGCTTACCTTACCTTAGCGCCTTAGTTCCTCCAGTGCCTATACTTGAATAAGTGTTAATGTGGCTTTACTATAGCTCGCGGAGAGTGATGATGTACATGTAAATCACCTTGTGATAAACAAGACAGGTGGTTGCCAGGCCCATCTGGGTGATTTGTAGTGAGTCACCAACTGCTAGATAGTATTTGGACCATCACACACCAGGGTGTACCCGACTCTTTGTCAAAAGCGTTAAATGCGTGCATGGCGTGTGGCTCTCCCCAAACATGGGGTGTCCCTAACCAAAGCTGGGTACCCTATTTTTTGAGTGAAGTGAGAAAAGTAGTGTAAAATGCCTTTCCCAAGTGCACAACATTGGCTATTGCAGGATTCGAACCCAGGACCTATGGGTTCTCGACCAAACACCAAGCTTTTATGCTGCATGTACATGATCCCACTTACATTTACTTGCACTGAAATAATCTTTGCTTTGTATACATTTTTAAACATGGTTAAATCATGTATTAATTTTGTATTTGTGTGATTTAACAGTTGATGAGCCATTTGTCCACGTCAATGCCTACATGATCCACGACACATCCGACTGGAGGGATCTGAACCTGAAGTTTGTGTTACAAGTCTTCAGGGACTACTTTGTTGGTCGTGATAAGGACTTTCTAGCCTTCATGTGGCCAAGAGCCCAGGTAATATAATTTTTTTTCTACGGTACTAAGGTCCAACTTAGCAGGTTGTATGAAAGAGCTGCCATTCAACTATTTTTGTCATGATAGTCAGACTTGCCCAAGCAACCACCTCTGTAAGCCGGCCATCTTGCTATAACGACTTCTTTTTCTCGGTCCCGATTTTTTTCGCCATGGACCTGCCAAACCCGACCACTCACAATGTCCTACATGTATGTGACCAGGACTGGCAATATTTGGGACCACCCATGGCCCAATCTCTGCTTACAAGTATGATGACTGCAAAATGCTGTCAAATTCAAGCGTGTATTGGAAAATTATTTTTTATATTTTATAACAAGTGAGAAGTCTTGATGGAATCGGCCAGTTTGCCACTAATTTTGACAGCATGACAGTCTTTGTGCAATGTAAAATGGCACCTGCGGGGTCACTTTGGATCAGTTGGGCAGTTTATTGTAAAATGGGTGAAATTTTGGTGGGGTTTCTGAATTGTTGTCATGCTTTTTGTACTTTTCATTGGTGCCATGGGTGCACTCTACATGTCAAGTGCTACTTTCCCTAACTATAAGGTGCATGATAACTCTTGATACCTTTCAGGCTGTTATGACCAAAGCCCTGACATGGGACACAGATGAAGATGGGATGATAGACAACAGTGGGGGCAGCCGACCAGACGTACGATGCCTGGATTGTAACAGGAGCAAGGTCAGTCCCTCAGTGGGCTCTAATGGGCCATGCCAGGGATTTGAACCCACAACCTTTGGATTCCGAGTCAACAACCCCAAGGCCTAGAAAAAAATGCTGTGTTTCCTGACCGACCCTAGTAAAAACTGCTGACCCTTGCCTTTTTTTGTGTGGACCCCTGCAAGGGACATAAATTTTTCCGCAATGTTTTCTACATTGTAGCTCCATGATCTTACACCTGTGTGATGAAACTTTGTACAAACGGTTTCCCAACAGCAACATTGAAAATATAATTGGCCTCATGCATTGCCAAGTTTTACTTGTTTTACTGTATTGTATAAGTTGGATCACTAAAGATTGCCAAGGTCTGACAAAAAAAAGAACGAAAAAAAGATAATCCCTACCTACCTACTGTATTTTTTTTAAGGACTGAAACAGAAAGCACAACATTTTTTCCTTACCACAAGACCACCATGCCATATGTTGTATATCCTATTGTACATGTACATGAAAGTGTCCACTGTATGTTTCTGTAGTGCGTACTGTGGTGGGCTGTGGCTGGCTGCCCTGAGGTGTATGGTGGAGATATCTCACATCCTGGGGAAGGAGGAGGAGGAACAACATTACCTGGCAGTCATGCAGAGGGCCAAAACTGCTTATGAAGAGAAACTTTGGAATGGTACATTTCTGTATTTTCTGTACTTTATTCATTGTACCTATTGTAAAGAGAGACTTCGGTGGTGCTTTATTTTTAGCTTTAAAACTGTCATTATGGGTTCACCACACCACGAAGTGGTGGTGAACCCATATTGCTTTTTCTGATGTTTCTTCTTCTTCTTCTTCTTCTTCTCCTGCCATTTTTTAAATGGATTCAGCTTCTTCATTTTAGGGCCTAAGGTCCTGAAATTTGGTATGGAGGTACAGTGGGCAAATACCCCTAGGCATTTTTTAAATTTTTGTTGATACAGGCTTTTAGAATGGTTTTATTTGAGTTTTTTGGCTGTGTTATAGCAAATGTATTACTGTGTTAGTGTGCCGTGTTTACCACGTCTGGGCATGAGTCATCACAATGGAATGCAGGGCATCAACCAATAGGCATGCAGCTTTCCTCTATACTTCTTGCTGATTGGCTGTTGGGATTTAACTTGATTAACACCTGCACAGAGCATTTCCACCTGCACAGAGCATTTCTTGCTGATTGGCTGTTGGGATTTAACTTGATTAACACCTGCACAGAGCATTTCCATACTGACAGTATGTCTTTATTCATTTGTCAAGTGTTTTGGTAGGTATTTCAAGCTTTTCTGCTCCAGCATTGGAATGCGGGGCATGAACTTTTTTTTTCATTTTGAAAATCAACAGTTTGCATTATGCAATTAAAAATCCTAACCAATAAAGTAGGGAATAGCTATCCAACTGTTGTTTTAGTTGTATGTTACTTCATATTATAGTTATATCAATGTAAATCATTGTTTTCCCTTGTATTTCTCATTCTTTCCCTGCCATGTCGTAAAATGTGGTGAACCCATCGCTGTATTTGCTCCAAAGCAAATATTGGCCTTTCTAGTTTTTTTATTATAATTATATGATACAGTAGGCACATTGGCAGAACGCACTGCGCCTGCGCAAAGCCCTGATTTTTCATGGTTTTCGTTACTTTGTTTGGTCAACATTGCATCAGAATTTCATCTGTTGCGGACAAGCAGACAATATCTTTTCTGACAGAACATTTGGAAACTACAGACGGGATGTTAAACTTATATACACGGATACGACCTTATATGAGACGTTCTGCCAAAGTACCATGCAAATACATTATACAGGTTTTGCGCAGGTGCAGTACGTGCTGCCAATGTGCTAATACAGTATATATATATTTGGTTAAATGATTTTTACTACTAGTATTCAAGTGTGCAATAAAGTAATATATTTTTATATGTCCCAGGGGAGTATTACAACTATGACTGCAGTGGGAGGTCCTACTCCAACTCCATCATGGCGGGGGCCGGGTCGGGACACTGGTACATCCGCGCCTGCGGGCTGGTGCCAGAGGACAACGAAGTCATGGACTCAGACAGGGAGGTATGGACAATCATGTACATGTACAACGCTCAGACTGAAGTTTCCTTTAGTTATCAGTTTCAATGTGAGCTGTGAAACTGCAATACATTGTAGCTGATTTGTTAATAATATGTGGAACTGGGAATATGTGTGTGTGTGTGTCCATGTTTGTGTTTTGTCACAGAGGGAGAAAGTCATTAATCTCGTCTACATCTGGTAGCTGTTTTCAAAGGTGTTTTTCGTTACATGACCTCCTTGACAGCTAAACAGCCGGTGTTATTTTCCTTTCATGATAAAGAAAGACACCATGGTGAATTAGGACACATTGACCATCCACTAGATCTAAATATTTTATTGAGGTCTGAGGTCTCCAAAAATATGTTTGAACCAGGTGCTACCATATGCATTGGATCAAGATATTTGAATCCTGTGTGATAACCAAATAGAACCCCCGCCGTTAGATAACGGTATACCCGTATCAACCGTTATTGTGGCCCAGGAATGACATAAATCGGTGTATTCAACAACTAAGTCTTGATTATATATCATTGTTCCCTTCCCATATGGCACTGACACATACATTTGTGTACACAGTCACATACAATGTACATGTACTAGGTACTCTATTGTTGCAATAGAGTACCTAGTACAGTTACAGTGTTGTTTGAAACAGGTGCTGCCATTGGACCACGTGGCGAGTTCGCTGAGGAAAGTGTACGACTTCAACGTGATGCAGTTCCACCAGGGCACCATGGGAGCTGTGAACGGGATGCGCCCCAGCGGGAAGAAGGACCTGACCAGCATGCAGAGTGAGGAGGTTTGGACCGGCATCACGTACGCACTGGCAGCCAGTATGATACAGGAGGTACGCACAGAATGTAGTACATTTGTATTATATAGGGCTCAAAATACTGGGTGCTTGTGTATCTTAGTGCACCCAAAATTGGAGCTGTACACTCAAATTTTTTCTTTGGGTGCACTAGTGCACCTATTTCCAAAAATGAATTTTGAGCCTGGCATGTATGTATATTATTGGATGTATAAATTCTGAATTGACAGTGTGTTCCAGTGCTCTACCCAGCATACATATTTCTGTTGTTTGACGGAATTTCATCATTAATGATGGACTCAAATACGCCCAATCTTTGACAGACAAAAATCCATGATTGTCACTTGTGTAAAAAGGTATATGGAAAGAGATGGTTAATGGTTAATACAATAATTGTGTCTCCAGGGTATGTTGGAGGAGGGTTTCCAGACAGCCTATGGTGTGTACAACATGTGTTACCGCCAGTGTGGCTTCGCCTTCCAAACTCCGGAAGCCTACCTGGAGAAGGACTTCTACCGCTCGCTGGGCTACATGCGACCTCTGGCCATCTGGGCCATGCAGTGGGCCCTGGAGGGCAGGCACAGGGCAAGGGTCACCAGTAGCTAAAGGTTAGGGGCATAGGTCACAGGTCAGGGCATAGGTCACAGGTCAAATGTATCAGTAGATACTGGTTTTAAAGCCCCTTTCGGGGACCTTTCCTCGAACAACAGCCGATCAAGGTTGGCTGAAGTTTGGGAGCAGTCTGACCAGATTTAGTCCATGTCTACCTCTTTCTTTATACAAATCAAATCAAACTTGAGTTAAATATAGTCAAATTTGAATGTCATCTGCACCCCGAACTACTCTTGAACACCAGCCAACCATGGCCGAACTTGAAACATTTGACTGGTACCTCCAAACAGTAGCCTGCCTGGCCGAACACCAGCCAACCTTACCTTGCTGCAGGCCTACTCCTAAGTCATAACGGTTACCATTGTTGAGGATTTCAGGTAGTGTTCCAGAGGTCATATTCGTAAGAGTGTGACAGAGGCTTTACAGGGTACTAGAAGTACATTTACTGACAATAGGTACATGTACATGTACATGTAGTTACATTAATTTGTACTTTAGGGCATGATTACACATGACATTGTTCTTCTCGGCCTTGAAGTACAATGTAAGTATACGTCCAAAAAATTGCAAGGTAAGATTGTGCCAGGAAACATTTTGCCTTTTGTTCTTTATACATGTAGGCATTGGCAATACTGATAATTCACGTGACTGTTGTGTGTATTTCACAGTTTAGGCCACACCAATTTAATTTGTTGGTTCTCGGATTCGCCTCTTCATTTTTTCCTGATTTGCAAAAAAAAAAAATTTCAGAATCAACTGCAAAATACTCATATTTTGCCCTGAACAGTTGAAAACAGTCCTTTTCTTCCTAGTCGTTACAGTTATTCCATCTTTCAATGCAGTGGTATCATTAGAAGTTCAAAATTCATCGTTTAAATTTTGAACCAGCCTTTTGTGTTGACTTCATACCTCCTATCGTAGCATTTGGGGCTATATTAGGATGCCTAGATCTGTTTTTATTTTTATTTTTTTTGCCCTGTCGCTTCATATTTTTCCTGAAAAAATCCGAGAACCAACAAATTAAATTGGTGTGGCCTTAGATACATCTATGTGCAAAACCAGAAGTGTGGCTCTCCACAAGTTTATAAATTAAACTTGTCCACAATCATCCTCTGGCTGAACTAGCCTAAGGTTAATGTAAAGATCCTTTCTGACCTGAACAAATGCAAGTACAGGTACTACACAATGTGGATCTAGTGCAAAATTAATGTTATTTTAGATTTGTTGGTGATGTTTTAACTCTTTTTATTGGTAAGTGAAGGTTTGTCATCAAAGTATGAAGTCGTCACAGTTGTTTTCTTCTTCATTCCAAGATCTTGTATTGGCTGGAATATAACAAAATTCTGTTTGTCTTTGTTAACAACATACAACTTGCAAGTCTGACATTAGACAATTTGTTACCAAAAATGGTAGTTGTCATATTATGAGCTGAGAGATGCTTCTTGTTATTTATTAATTATTATTTGCTGCTGTGGTGCCAAATGCTTGCCTAATATTGTCTTTTGAGTTAGACCTAACTTTTAGTATGTGTCATTTTAAATTACTGCTTTATTTAATTAATGGGTTCAGTGGTGTTGTCAGAATGTTTTGTTGTCAACAAATCAAATCCGATGTTCTAGCCAGCATCTGTCTTTCTGTCATTTGACAGACTTTTACGGCAGGTGACGGACAAAAATTTTGCCCAATCAACAAAAATCGGCGTGTAAAGATATGAAAAGTGTTGTCAAAAATAGTAAGTAAGTTTGGTCTACCAGCAAAATTTGCCCCTCAAAATGCAGAAAATAGCATTTCAGGGGGTCAAGATTTCAAATTATATTAGGGAAGCATGCCCCCTGAACCCTTAGGATTGTCCTACATGTACAATGTCATGTACATGTACACAGCACACTTGACAGTCATGATTATCATATAACTTGAGATGACAAAGAAATTTCAGTCTGGCTAGAACACTAAATGAAATAATGGAAAATGAGCTTCCACTTGTCTAGTAATATAAAGTTTAGAGGCTTACCTTGAAGAGAAGGTTATCCTCTAAGTAGTAACAAATATTTACTATTTGTTCTCAGAGTCTGTAGTCGCACAAAATATGTACACTCACATGTTAAATATAATTGTTTAATTTAGTTACTGTTAGTCCTTTCCTAGCAGCACTGATCTGTAGTTCAGTTAAGCCGTTGGGCCACACAGTAGTGCAATCATTACAGCAGGGGGATAGTCTACTGGTAGAGGGGCGCATGTGTTAACTACAAACTGTTACAGTCTTAAGAATACCGAGTGCTAAGCAGAGAAAGAAGTATGTACCATTTTGTAAGTCTTTGGTATGACTTGGCCAGGCTAGGGATCAAACTCACTACCTAGTACATGTTTGTACCGAATGCAAGGCGAGCAAAAAAAAAACAATGGCCATTGCACTGGTTATACATTGTACAGTCACATATTACATGTACTATGTAGTGACATTTACAAACCTAATATATATCTACACTCAGGAAGTCCAAATATTATTGAATTGGGAGAAAAAAACGACATCAGTGAAGAATTTACTTTTTGGCATGAACTGTTTCAGGGAACACACATTATAATAATTAAGTGAAATGGCTTATGTCTTTTGCTGATTTACCTTGGGGCTGATGTTACAGTACCATTTAACTTAAAATACTAAATTTACTGTACAATGTATGTTAAACTTCTCCACATTGAATTGCTTCTTGTTGGAGTTTCTGATTAGAAGTATTCCAAAGGCTGATATGGTTGCTTGCATGCAGTACTAGTCTGTGTCACATGAATGTATTAAGCCTGAAGTGTCCAGTCTATCGCAGTTGGGGCTCTGGCCACCCGGAGGGGGAGTGTTACACCTTTGGGGGGTTTGCTAGTAGAGTTTTTCACGCCAGGAATTGATTGTGGTAGGGCTAAATTAAACTCCCGTTGCCCAAAGCCTACCACGGAACCTACATGTAGCTGTGGCATGTGGCGAAGAGCTTCTGCAGCCCCGAAGAGAACCCACCCCAAACACAATAGACTAGACACCAGGCTAGAATATGTTGGGACCAACTCCTTTGTCACTGCTCTGATTTCTTTGAGGCTCGAGACATCACAAAGTTAACATACATACATGTATTTCATCTGTTGCCACTTGTATCTGAATGCCGGTTATGCACAATAAAGGACACTGTATTTGCACATTTGATAAAACTTTTTGCCTTCGGGAAAGGAGACATCCTTCCTCGGAAGGGTTTTGTATTTGGTCGATGTTTGTGTGTTCACAGCAGCTGCTGTAACTCACAGTGGTCTGGATGGATTCTTTTGGGTCTCGGTATAAAAAAATGTATGATCTGCTTATTTGATTATTTGTTCTGTATATTTGTGGTCACAGGTTGTTGACCTTATAATATCGTAAAAAAACAGTACGGTCTAACAATCCAAACAGCACCTATGCTAAATGTAGCTATCAAATACTGCTCCGTCCACATACTGTAAAAGGTTGTTTTGAGCCAAAGCAATCTACAATGATCATACATTGCATAATTACTGTACTATAGAAAAGCCAACACAAATAACAAAGGTGTGAGATTTTTGTCCTCTAGTTCCCATTCTTTGATTCAGTAATCATTTTTACATCATGAAAACATGACAAGGATATAATATGTAGATCTACTACAATAACCGGATTACAAAAATATGCATCTCTAAGTTTGTATTAATATGGCTTGATGTGAGCTTTACATCATTAATGAGAAGATAGCCAAGGCTGTTCCTGTCATATTTCTTAACAGAAGTACCTCAACATACAATGTAGTTGAAGTGCCTCCCTAATCTCCAAGCAGAACTTTTGGTGGCTGCAATACTGTTACAGTATCAAATTGGCAGACAGTTTCAAATTGGCCAGGTAGTACCCAAGACGCCACCCACAGGGGCAAAAGGTAACTCGGGTGGCCAATTTGATCGTCCCCTGCCCCCAAAATAATCTGCTTCTAGATTAGGGCCACTCTCTTTCTATATTACTAATCGGTTTCTTCTAAATTCATAATAATATGCAAGATTCTGAAGAGCTCTCAATGGTGACATTTCTAAATTAATCAATTTCATGCATGCAATTTCTGTTCCATGTACGTACAAGCTACATGATTGCAAATGGGCCCATTATTTAATTTCACCAATTCCTGGCCCACTATGATTTCTGTTTCGAAAAGCCCTTCCTAGAATAGTTTGTGCTTGCACAGCCACAATTTGTAGTGGAGAATGGTTTAAGGCACTCTTTCTTCAGCAAGCTTCAAATAACTTTTATATTTAACATCATTTTTCTTCAATATCTTTCAGGATCAAACATGATTATTTACAGTCATTCATGTACATAATCACAGAAGCTAAATATACAAAAACACTCCGACAAAGTTTTAGCACAATTTCTAGACTATAAGAAGATACATAAATACATACTCCTGAAACATAGCATATTGATTGTCAACAAACTTTTCTGCAAGAGCAAGCTAAGGCACAACATATCCTGTGCAATTAAGTGTACTATACACTACAATACATTAAAACTGCTACACAAAATACTATACCAATTTTCTGATTAACAATCATATTCATGAGACAGCTGACAACATCTGTTTCAACAGTGAACAGTTACTCAGTACATAGGTCAGGTCATGGCTAAATCAGCATTTCCTGGGTGTCAACAATATGTCCTTCATGACAACAGTACCCAGTTAAAGAATGCACTTGAGAGTTATTTTGGTGGATGACCTAAAATGAAAGCTAGCTCTATAGACATTACAGGGCATTACAGGAATGTGATCTGAATATAGAACCTTTCAGATAGCATTCCAGAGAACGTAAGGTGTTGATTTGGCACACATTCAAACCAGGGATACTCAAAGAACGCACCACACATACCATCTACTCCTGTTTATCTTTCAACATGACATTGACCCTCTGGACAAGGAAAATTGGCACTTAATGAAAATCCTTAGGTTTCCCACTATTTTTTGGTACCATAGATATCAAAACAATCAAATTATGGGTTATCCTATCTGATATCTTAATTACCATTTTGTCTGGTTTTAATGCTTCGCTCTGGGAATAAAAACTGCTAAGGCCTTTACATTCTAAGGGTCACATAATTATAGTTAAATTAAATAAAGTCAACGTATTTATTAGTCTACCATTCCTTGATGTTGTTTTAGCACCATAGAAAATTTTCACTTTTTTCATTATTCTGCACTTCTCACTATCAGCTCTCCTCTATCTTGAGTAGTAGCTTATTAACACAAATATGTGGCTTATCATTGTACTGTAACAGTAAAACACATTCTCACATTTTCCTGGCAGATATACAACATACGTGCAAGTAATGTGAGTAAAAAGAATGGGAAAAAGGTGCCCCAGTTAGAAAACAAGTAGTAGTACAGTCATGTAATTATTGCGCTCACAAAATGCAAAATGTACAATGTAGTACATACTAGAAGAACTTCTACAACTTTATACAGATAACTCTTTGGTTGCCCTTATCTGTTTGGGTAGAAAAGACTTGAACACAAGACAAGACTAAGGCATCCAATGCAATTTCAGGGCGGCAAAACAAAAAATATTTTAGATGAGGAAAATCTGTCTGATATTGACATTTACTGCCAATTCTTAGCACATTTTCATCATTATACTCAAAGAGTTTGAAATAGCCCAAAACAAGCCATGCGATGACTCTTTTAAGGGTACCACCCATAAATACACTGTACCTAGAACCATGCAGCCTATGATGCAAACATGGAATTTTTGCCTCACACTAGTCACAGGTATCAGTATCCTATGAAATAGGTTTAATTCAACCTACGTGTGCTACATTTTTTGTACTAACTGTAACATTAAAATAATGTCCAACAAATTGACTTTGAAAATCCAGTTTTGCCGCCCTGAAATTGCACTAGCTGCCTTTAATGTCTGGAGGTGATGTTGTGTATTTCATCCTCAGATAGAGAGTCCTCGTTATAGAAGTCCTCCTGTGACAGGATGTTGACGTGATCGTTCATCTTCTCATACCTGGTGGTGGGGACCTTAAGACACAAGAAACTTTATTAGCATTCGCAGACTCAAAAAATCTTAATTATCGCTAATTTATAATGAAATATCGATTTTGCAGAGAAACTAAAAGGTTTAAGAGAACATTCAGTCTGTTACATATTATTTACAATATAATAAACCAATTGTACAATGGAGTACAATTTTTTAAATTACAGAAAGCAAATTATATGTGATATACTGTACAAGTTGTACAATTGGTTTTCTAACACTGACATTAAAAATAAAAGTGTCCTCATGTATAAGATGGACCCCTACATAGATATCACTTCTGAAGTCTACGAAGAAAAAAGGAAAAAAGATAATCCCTTTACCTACCAATCCTATTTTTTTTTTCAGGACTGAAACAGGATACAGGAAATAATTTTTTTTCCTAGGACTGAGGAAGGTGACGGATGGTAAGCAAAACGTCGGCTGTGAATAAAACACCTGGTTGTGTAAAAAGAGTCTCTTTACTTAGAAGAAAGATGGTTTGAGTCAGACCTGTTGGTACTTGTGTGCCCAGCAGAGGCTTCCGTTGCTGCGCGCCTGTAACAACCCGAACACCACGAAGAACAGGACGACGATCACGACACAGATGAAGGTTGCCACGGCGATGTACGCCACGTTAGTGGGGATTGAGCCGGTGGAGGAAAACTGGACACCTCCGGAGTCTGCCTCACGATCTGTGATACACACTCCTGGAACAGCAGGGAGATAATTACATCACTTCAACACCAGTTGTAACTGTCTTCACATTCCCTAAAGCATAACTATTCTTCAAACAACAATCTTAAACGGGTTTCTCTCCTCCCAAAACTGCAAATCATTAAATGTTAGCCTTGGTGAAATCAGACATCTTCTAAAATGCTTAGTTTGTACATGTACATTAAATTCTTAGGTCCTTACATGTAAGTTTTGTGTGTATATAGCCTGTTTTTCATAGTACTGAATTCAGATTTAGAAATAAAGAAGAAATAAAGTTTTGAGCGAAAAGGATGCCGCCAGACTAATTGGTTTGTCTAGCCGATGTAAATTCAACGTGTCATAATCGCCAAGATCAAAGGTCCTGTCTTTGCCGAAAACGGCTCCATGTGGTCCAACTGCACCCAAGGTGTGAATCTCCAAATTCTTTGACGCTGGTGCCGCCTGTGTCGGCCCCCCCTTTGATCGCCCTTGACAATCTCCAGACCGCGTCGCAATCTGTGGCTGTTATGATTTACATTGCGTGACGGTTATTGGCTGATCCAGATCGCACCACGTGGTACTTGACTTTGAGCATAAGAATTCGGGTCTCGGCTCTCAATTCACTTGGGCACTGACTTTCGTGTTGACCACACCGTTTCGATTCGGCCTAAGTTTATTTCATCGTGTTCATCTCAGCAGACCCGCTAGTTTCGTTCTACGGAAACATCCAGTACACGAGCGTTCGTTCCCACTCCCGAGCGGTGACCGCCCCGTCCAACGCTGAAGTCGACCCGGTCGACGCTGAAGTTCCCGGCAGCCCGTCGCCGCCCCATCCGTCGTTCCGGTCACCAGGCCCGCTATCATCCTCGGACGGAAGCACCCAGGACCTCGGCGTCCGTTCCAACAGCCTGACGCCGTCCCGCCACTCCCCGCTCCAGACAACACGCTCGGCGACCAACCCGCATCTCCTCGCCCAGTATCAAACTTTTCTGGTGAGCTGCTCTACTTTCTGTTTCTTTGTCATGGACTGCCCGCCAACACGCATTGCCATTACGGGACATTCTTTTGTTTCTCGTCTCGATTCTTTTGTCCGGCGCCGAACCACCACAGCCTCCGGGCGTGCCGTCTCTCCAAATTTCTGGATTTCTAACGCTGACATTCAATTCTATGGTGTACCAGGCTGCACGATCCCCAAGTACTACTCGCACATACTTCCCACCCTTGAAGCGGGGAATCCCCATATCGTTTATTTGGAGCTAGCTCACAATGACCTTTGTAAACACTACCTGACGCCAGAACAAATTGCCCGTGACCTATTGACGCTGACCCAGCAAATTTCTGACATCCCATCCGTCCGCGCCGTAATTGCAGCAGAACCCTTGTGGAGGAACAAACTGCCTCGTTATATGCCCGACTTCCACACACGCGTCGACGCCTTCCGAACAGCATTCCGTCCCCTCGTTGACGCGACTCCCTCAGTCCACACATGGTACCACGCTCGGCTGTGGCAAAAGAATCCAAATTACTTTGTTTCGGATGGCCTTCATCTTAGCGACTTCGGCAACCTACAATATTTCAGAAGCGTAAGAGGAGCTCTAATCCCTCATTTGCCATCCCGCCAAAACACTTTTTGTTCCGGTCTTTGTCTTTGAACAGTCCATACCTTTTCCCCTAGTCTTTCGTTGGATTTCGCCGCATTTAGCGTCTTTCTGGGCGGTTCATGTTTTGCTCACAGTTTAGTGAGCTACTTGGTGGTTTTTGATGATTTCTGTATGTTACAAACTACTTTGTTCACTTTATAAGACGTTTATCAACGCTACTTGATCTTATCTGACCTTCTCAAAAATGCGTTGACCGGTTATATCATATCATGTATACGTATACGTCATACAAGTCCCAAGGGGATTCAGTGCCTTTATTGTACCTGCAATTGTCTTATATGTCCCCGGCTATTTTCTGCCTAAGTGTTTTTGTTATTTAGTAACGTTGCTGTCAGATGTCTTGATTTCTGAATAAATTATTTGTTCTCGGCCAAACCATATACACTCTCCAGTTGTGTTTATGTCCTCTATTGTCGGCAAGGGATTCTGAAGCGTAAAACATCTTTTTGCTATGCAAAAATAAAGTTTTGAGCGAAAAGGATGCCGCCAGACTAATTGGTTTGTCTAGCCGATGTAAATTCAACGTGTCATAATCGCCAAGATCAAAGGTCCTGTCTTTGCCGAAAACGGCTCCATGTGGTCCAACTGCACCCAAGGTGTGAATCTCCAAATTCTTTGACGCTGGTGCCGCCTGTGTCGGCCCCCCCTTTGATCGCCCTTGACAATCTCCAGACCGCGTCGCAATCTGTGGCTGTTATGATTTACATTGCGTGACGGTTATTGGCTGATCCAGATCGCACCACGTGGTACTTGACTTTGAGCATAAGAATTCGGGTCTCGGCTCTCAATTCACTTGGGCACTGACTTTCGTGTTGACCACACCGTTTCGATTCGGCCTAAGTTTTTTACCCACCCGCCCGCACCTTACAAGTTTTACTAGAAGCACGGGAAATTACATCTCTTCTCCACGACCTTCAACAAAGCATAAGTTACTCTTAACAGGAAATAAATATATTCGCCTAGTGTCTAGTAACCCGTGTACTTCTCATTGGTGTTCTTCGTCGTGTGGTACGCACAATTGTGTCTGTACTGACGGACAATCTGTTTACTTACCGTCGTGTGGTGCAAGCATTTGTGTTTGTACTGACGGACAATCTGTTTACTTACCGTCGTGTGGTGCAAGCATTTGTGTTTGTACTGACGGACAATCTGTTTACTTACCGTCGTGTGGTGCAAGCATTCGTGTTTGTACTGACGGACAATCTGTTTACTTTACTTATTACCGTCGCGTGGCACAATCAACCGTTATTCATATTTGTGCTGACGGACATTTTATGTATTTCGTCCCGGCGTGCGGTTCAATTAATAATTGGACTGTCGGGCGTTACTTTCCCGTCGTGTGGCGCCGTCCAATCATAGAAATGGTTGCGCTGACGGCTATTTTGTTTTCCTCGTCCCGGCGTGCGGTTCAATGTTAATATTGGAACTGTCGGGCGAGTTTTTACTTTGGGCGAGTTTTTGTATAACTTTGCACCGTGTGGAACATTTGTTGTGTGGTACAGCTAGCTTTTGTATAACCTTTCGGTCAGGCACTATGTCTTGACAATTCATAATTTAGGGCACATCTGCTCCTTCCGGACGCAGAGACTCCATCATCCAATTCACACCTTATCGCTCTAATTGCCGTTTTCCTCCCCTTGAGCCCTAGCGATGCCGAGAACACGGCGCAGCAAACGCTCAACGGAGAACGCGACAGGAGGTGGCGGAACCGACCACGAGGAGAACCCGCCACCACCACCACCGCCTCCCCCACCACCACCCCCGCCGACAGACATCCAGACCCTCCAGCGGCAGTTGGCGGAGCTCACGTCGGCCACCCAAACCATCCAGCGGAACCTCGCCGCCATCATGCCCCGGGGAGCACCTGGCGCCCAGCCTCCTGCCTCGCAGCAGGCGCTCAACACCTCCACATCTGGCCACCCCGCCCTGCCACCGACCCACCTGGACACTGTCCCAGGAACTCCAGCCGGCGCCCTCGCGGCGTCCGTACTAGGTAACGTTAGTGATAAGTCTGTACTAGGTAGCGATAGCGATAAGCTTCCCGCAGGCTCTGAGACCAACGCCCTACACCAGCTCATCCCTCCTAATCCTTTCCCCCTCGCTGGCAGTAACATACATGTCCCGCTAGACACAGGCATTCCAGAGCAGGTTAAGGAGAAGATTTGGCAACATAAGTATGTTAATTTCAAAAATCTCATCCCCTCCCTGAAATCAGCCCCACAGTACACCGTCTCTCTGTCTGACTCCCTGACACCCACTTTGACCTTGGCGAACCGCACCGCCGATCCGAAACAAAACCTCTCCCTGGACCAATGGTCCACTGCCTTCTTAATCTACCAGTTTGTGTATATACAACGCCACCCTCAGCACAGCTCCCAGCTCCTCGCATATCACCACCTCATCCGTACCCTAGCCTCGCGCAAAGCTGACTGGCTCCGCTACGATGAGTCCTTCCGCCAATTCAGGGAGGGGTCCCCTACCACATCTTGGGCCACTCCACACTTGCAACTCTATGTCGATGCTCTCCACACCGCCCCTTCCCCAACACCTACTGTCTCATCTCCCGCTCATGCTCCCAAACCAAAACTGACTTCCAACATCCCCTCAGGGTATTGTTTTCAATACCACAGGCCAAACGGACAGTGCTTTAAGCACGATTGCCCCTGGAAGCACTCGTGCTTCCACTGTTCCCGGGCACACAAAGCGCCCCAGTGCCCCCAAACCGTTCCCAACTCACGCCCTTCCTCCTACCCTAACAACAAACGCTAAGCTCCTACGACAATCTGCACATTTGCCAACCCCCGTTAGAGCCGATGCCCTAGCTAAATACCTTCACGACTACCCCCACCTGGACAAAGCATATCTTTTAGATGGCTTCACTTTTGGCTTTCCGCTAGAATATTTCGGACCCAGGTCCCGACCCCCAACCTCCCCTCCCCACCCAAAAGATTCTGACTTTACTGTAATCCACGCCAAACTCCAACAAGAGCTGGCGTCTAAGCGGGTTGCTGGACCCTTCTCTTCCCCTCCGTTTCCAAACCTGTTTTTGTCCCCCTTGTACGCGGTTCCCAAAAAATCGCCCGGCAAATTCCGCATTATACACGACCTTTCCTTTCCGCCAGGGTTGTCCGTCAATGACGGTATTCCTCCAGATCTTTCTTCAGTGTCTTACGCTACGATTGACGATGCCATCCAACACATTAAATTTCTTGGCCCTGGTTGTTTCCTAGCTAAAACTGACATTGAATCAGCCTTTCGTTTAATCCCCGTCCACCCCAATGACCATCACCTGTTAGGTTTTTTCTGGAACGGTCAATTCTACTATGACAGGTGCTTGCCAATGGGGTGCTCTACATCCTGTGCCATTTTCGAGTCCTTTAGTTCCGCCCTCGAATGGATCGCCCGTAACAAATTAAACATTAAGTATCCTACTCACATTCTTGATGATTTTCTGTTTGCCAACAACACATTTGCACAATGTAACAGCGACCTTACCGCATTCTCGACCATGTGCCTTGACGTGGGGGTCCCGCTAGCGGAGGACAAGACATTTGCACCCAACACGGTTATGTCTTTCCTAGGGATCGAGCTAGACACGGTCTCCATGGAGGCAAGGCTCCCTTTGGATAAACTAGCTAAATGTCAGGATCTAATTGTAGCCTTTTTAGACCTTAACAGCGCCACCCTCAAACAAATACAGTCCCTCATTGGTCTTCTAAACCACGTTTGCCAGGTAGTTCCCCCGGGTCGTGCCTTTCTACGACGACTCATTGACCTTACCAAGTCCCCCAAATCGAACAATAGTCGCATTCCCTTATCCCGTGCAATTCACCAAGATCTACGCCTATGGCTCACATTTTTGAACGATTTTAATGGGCGGTCATTCTTTCTCGACGACGTTTTCGCCTCTAACTCAACCCTACACTTATTCACGGACGCAGCTGCTTCCCTAGGTTTCGGGGGGGTCTGCGGGACGGCCTGGTTTTTCGGCTCCTGGCCCTCCTCTCTATGTACCAGAAACATAACGATATTAGAATTCTACCCAATTGTCGTAGCCCTGCACCTCTGGGGTCATCTTTGGGCCAATCGCAGCATCCTCTTTCACACAGACAACGCTGCCCTAGTCCACATTATCAACCGTCAGACTTCCAAAAACCCTCTAATCATGCCTTTGGTTCGTCAGTTTGTTTTGACCTCCCTACGCCATAACACCCTCTGCCGGGCTACCCATGTACCAGGCTCCCAAAACATCATGGCTGACACCCTATCTCGCTTGCAGGTCGCCCGGTTCCGACAGACCTTTCCACACATGGACCCCAGCCCGACACCCGTGCCACCCCACCTGCTGCCGAACACCTTAATCAGACCGTGACAGACCTTCTAGCCTCCTCCCTTGCCCCTTCTACTTTACGTGCTTACCGTCAGTCATGGCAATTGTTCCGCCAATTTACCTTAGACACATACAACGAAGATTTAGCCGTCCCACCACTGTCTACCAACCTTGTCTCGCAGTTCACGGCGTACATGCACATCAAAGGTTTCGCGGCGTCTTCCATCTCCTCAAAACTCTCCGCCATTAGTTTTATTCATAAGCTGATAAACCTCCCAGACCCAACCCAATCATTCCTCATTAAGAAAGTTGTGCAGGCCGCTCGAAAGTCCCAGCGCCCTGACACTAGGAGACCAATAAACCCCAGTATTCTTAAGTCCTTACTCGACTCATTGCCCACTGTAGTCGCGTCTGTCTACGACCAACAACTATTCAAGGCCCTTTTCCTGTTTAGCTACCATTCGCTTTCTCGCGTCGGTGAAGTCACCGTCACCGGCGCGTCTAACCATACCCTGCAGCTTTCAGACGTACAAACTCAGATTATACCTCCCTATAGCTCCTGCTCCTTAGTTGTGACTTATCGCACCTACAAACACGGTGTCCCCTCCCGCCCAGCAACCATTTCCATCTCCCCTCACACTGGCAGTTCGTACTGTCCAGTTACCAATATGACCTCATACCTAGCCCTCCGGGGGAACTGCGCAGGTTGCCTTTTCCTCCGTCAAAACGGTCGCCCTGTGTCCAGTGACTTCTTCTCCCAAATCCTTCGTAAATGCGTAACTCACGTCCACTTGGACCCACACAAGTTCACTGTGCACTCTTTCCGAATTGGAGCCGCCACTCAAGCAGCCCTTAGCGGCGTCCCTGACGCACAGCTGCGAGCACTAGGGCGTTGGTCCTCAGACGCATTCAGATCCTACATACGCCCCTAGCTTCATATGTATCATAGGTGATATGCGTGACTGTATGTATTAAAAGCCTTAGCGGGTCCAAATACATTAGCTTCCATTCTGTACAGGTAACCGTATTTGACAACGTTTCAAGCTTTAAACATATTGTCGTTGTCTTTAGTACATTTTTACACTTATTAGCACCCGTATCAGGCAAGTTGTTTACTTTGTAAAGCATTGTTTAGCTTAGCTTTATCTTTCCATGTATACTTTGCTTAGTTTAGTTTAGCTTTATCTTTCCTTGTATACTTTGCTTAGTACAGCATTGTTTAGCTTAACTTTATCTTTCCATGTATAACTTGCTTAGTATAGCTTTGTTTAGCTTAGCTTTATCTTTCCATGTATAACTTGCTTAGTATAACATTGTTTAGCTTAGCTTTATCTTTCCATGTATAACTTGCTTAGTATAACATTGTTTAACTTAGCTTTATCTTTCCATGTATAACTTGCTTAGTATAACATTGTTTAGCTTAGCTTTATCTTTCCATGTATAACTTGCTTAGTATAGCATTGTTTAGCTTAGCTTTATCTTTCCATGTATAACTTGCTTAGTATAGCATTGTTTAGCTTAGCTTTATCTTTCCATGTATAACTTGCTTAGCATAGCATTGTTTAGCTTAGTTTTATCTTTCCTTGTGTAATTTGCTTAGTACAGCATAGTTTAGCTTAGCTTTATCTTTCCATGTATAATTTGCTTAGTTTTGCTTTGTTTAGCTTAGCTTTATCTTTCCTTGTACATGTATAAAAATTTGCTTAGCATAGCATTGTCTAGCTTAGCTTTATCTTTCCATGTATGCTTTGTTTAGCTTCGCCTTAACCTCATCTGTTTATGCTAGCATCTACCAGTTTGTACATTGGCATTGCTTTACGTTTTTTCGACCCTTTGTCACTTCCCGCTTTTCTCGGTATACTTTATGTTTGCTTGCTTTGTGGTTTTTGATGATTTCTGTATGTTACAAACTACTTTGTTCACTTTATAAGACGTTTATCAACGCTACTTGATCTTATCTGACCTTCTCAAAAATGCGTTGACCGGTTATATCATATCATGTATACGTATACGTCATACAAGTCCCAAGGGGATTCAGTGCCTTTATTGTACCTGCAATTGTCTTATATGTCCCCGGCTATTTTCTGCCTAAGTGTTTTTGTTATTTAGTAACGTTGCTGTCAGATGTCTTGATTTCTGAATAAATTATTTGTTCTCGGCCAAACCATATACACTCTCCAGTTGTGTTTATGTCCTCTATTGTCGGCAAGGGATTCTGAAGCGTAAAACATCTTTTTGCTATGCAAAAATGAGAATATAACCAAAAGATTTGCAATAAGTTAAATTCCTAAGTACTGCAAGTTTCAAGGTTAACAAATGTTTTATTGATTGAGAGTGGTTGGTGGTCATTTAGATGTTTTTATAATTTTACCCAAGATTTTTGTAAATTTTTTCGTTCATGGTTGACTGATTAGTTACACTTTTACATGCCACAAAGATCCAGCAATTGACAGAAAACTTTGTGCTGACTGGGATACACTACTGTATGTACTCACGTGTGGACTCATGACAGATGCAGCAGTACTCGCTTTCCGGTGAGCCCGGCTCACAGCAGGCCGTACAGAGGTGCTTCATGGCGTGGTACCCGTACGGGGCCTCGCAGGACAGGCAGTCATGGGACGTGCTGCCACGGCAGGTCTTACACGAGACATCACACTCATCACATTTCTGCAGAAAATATACAGGACAGATCAAGCTTGGGTCACAACATTAGTGAAATACATAGATTCTAAAAAATGTTACAGTAAGAAGCTTAAAGCTGGTGTGCAATTATAATGTACGATCCGGCCCGTAATTAGCAGTATCACATGGGGTTTTAAATCATCATGCGGGCTTCCAAATGTTAGAATCATAATTTGAATCCTTCATGTGCGCCGCTATTGTGAATACTGATTTCGGATGTTGAGATTGATACCAGGTAACACAATTCGTTGTTTAGGGACTAGAAATTTTGGCAAATTTTCCATTGAAATGTGTGTTTTCTCTTGTGTGTATACAGCAAAAATAGTAAAATGCAACACGGTGTATTTCACATCATCCTCAGTCACAGCTCTCCCGCTGGTTGGATCTCCCTCTGGCCTTCACCCGCACAGGCGATTCGACAGGCAGTCGGACTGGTACGTCAAGTCATTCTGAATACACCATACTTGACTAATGTACACAATGTATACAATGTCATGTAGTTCTGACCTGGGTATCCTCAACAAAGAATTCGTGTTCCTCACACATCGGGTAACAGACACCTTTCACCAGCTTGGACCCAAACGGGCACGACAGGCAGTTGTAGTTCCCACCCTCTGTGTAAGGAAAGTGCATACAAACTCTTATTAGTCATAGTCGCCATGTTGTCATATGACACAATGACTGATAATGTATCTGATTCAGCATTTTGTATCACAATTATAATTGTATACTTCTTTTATGGTAAAAAAGAAAATGATTTGTAACTTATGTAGCCCACATCAAAGTTGGACTGTCTATTTCTTACACAACTGTCAAATAACCATCACATAGAACAGTTACATTTGTATTAATGAGCATCTTTTGTTTAGTGTAATGTTAATCGGTCTGGATAAGGACTGTTCTCCCCGAAAGCGCCACCTACATCAGCTACATACGAGAAATGGTACTACAGTCAGAAGCTCTGAGGAAGGTGTCTGATAGACATCGAAACAAAATTAAGTAGATGAGATTCTCTACCGGTCGTGTAGAAAGAAACCCACAATATCCAATGTGTTAACCAACCAGATGAAATTATTTTTGGATGTACATGTACATGTAATCTCCTTACCATTGCATGTGGCACAGGAAGGGTGACACTCTCCACATTCCTTCTCCTGCCTCATCGTGTCATAATAACCATCTGGACATTTCTCCAGACACTGGCCCTGGACCAGGTAGTAGTCGTAAGGACACGTCACACACTGGTCACTGCGCGGTCCGTCACACGTCTCACACTCACTGGAGCATGCCTGGCATTCATTGGTCAGGTCAGGATAGTGCCTGTTAAGGATAACATGTGGTCACTTATAAGGGAGTAAGTAGAAAACTCTCTCACTAACGTTGCGTAATGGTTATTAATAAATCAAATTGACAATGTATATTTTCAAATTGGTGTCTAAACAACCTGGTGTTCAGTCAGGAACCAGGCCATTGATTGATCAAGGAGATTCATGGATTGATTTATAAAAATTAAAACATTTGTCAATTCGTAGTTCATCATTACAGCTTTCTTACAAAACATTGCTAATTTGGCCTTTTTTTATTGGACTAAAAATCTTCAATGGACTTTGTCCAGATATTGTTTTTTTCTAGGTTCTGTTCAAAGGACATACACTAGTGATGTTAAGTGCCTTTCTCAGCAAAGCTACATTATAAAGCGTGGCATCGTGTGTCATTATGGTAAAAGAGCATGGCTCAGAATCAAGAGGTCCCAAGTTCAATCCTCTGACATGCCTGATGTTGTATCCTTGGGAAAGGCACTTTGCACAACTTTCCTCACTGTTCAGTGGAGTGATGACCCTCAGCCTTTTGGCTTATTGTTGATAGTGTCCAAACACTGGTTAGGACACAGACAGATTTGGTGTTGTTGCCTATGTGATCTGCACATTTGGCACTAAGAACAGTTACAGTAAACTTTACAATTCAAAAAAAAACTAGTCACTCACCCTTCCTCACATTCCGTCACACATTTTCCATCCTGTTTGTACTTGATGTCGTTGGCACATTCAATACAATCCTTCTCCCCGTCCCCCTGACAGGTCTTACAGTTGACGTGACACAGACGACACTCCATCACCGTCGCCCCGCTGTCATCTTCATACGTCTCCTCAAACGTACCTTCAGGACAGTGGCTCGAGCACTGCTTGTCTAGAAATCAACCCATAACAGTTACTAGTTTAAGATAACATTTGCAAAGCAAAGGCATAATGTTTAGCATCGCATATGGTCTGCTCTGTTAATTCTTACTCAAACACAATGTCATCATATATATGGTGACAGGAGTCTAAATCCCTTCTGCTATAAAATTGCAACATGATGTGACCCATTCTTCTAAGTGAAGAAACTGTACACTTCAAACCACTGACACATTCCATGTACATGTACTCACCAGTGAGATATGATCCCTCCGGACATGACAGACAGTTGTCGTGGTGCGGCCCATCACATGTCTGACACTCCCTGTGACAGGACTGACAGTCCCGGTGGTGGAGGAACTGTCCCGGGGGACAGCCCGCCTCGCAGGACCCACTGTCCGTCAGCAGGAACCCGTCATCGCAGTCTGTACACGTGTCGTCATACTCGTCTGTACACTCCTTACACGTTGGGTGACAGGCTAGTGGAACATGCAGTGATCGTTTCTTTATTCAACACATTAACCTACATTGTCAAATATCTTATCATTATTCAATCTTTTGCTGAAAAGAGAAGTAAGAATTTCAACGTGAATGCGGTGTCCTGTATACTGCAGTTTTACTGAAATCTTTTTAGCTCTCCTATTATGCCTTCCATGACTTACATATTATTTTAATGACTAAAAACTCAAACCCTGCAAACATAGTTTTCCTGCAATTAGTCTTAGGCATGAACATTAGTAGACCTTTTCAGCTAAAAGTGATGTACATGCTCATTAAGCTCTTCTTTCTCCTCTGCATCGCTTATCAAATTTTCTTTTTTCATTTTCCTTTGATCCTAGTTTGCCCCTTAATCCTGTCACACATTCAAAATCTTCCCCCTGAACACCAGCTGACCAAGGTTGGCTGACGTAAGGGAGCAGTCTGACCATTCTCATGCCTCTCATCCTCCTATCTGCACTCAAACCTTCTACACATTTTGAAACATTTGGCTGGTGCAGCCGAACAGTAGCCGACCTGGCGGAACACCAGCCGACCTTGCTCCTGACCTACTCCTAACCATGGTTGGGGGGGAGTTCAGCTAGTGTTTGGGAGTCCGTATTCTAAATGTGACAGGGCCTTCAGTGTTAGTGCAGCTTTATTTCTAATCTAAGGCAATTTCTATGTGACTATATGGAAAAGTAAACTGGACTGCCATGCGGTTAGGACTACTGTCTTATAGATGTTCAGAACAGTTACCTAAAGATTGGAGATTGCTGTAGCTCAGTGTTCTAGCCAGTATGACATTTTTTCTGTCATCGCAATTTTGTTTGACGTAATATCGTGTCAAGTGCTGAAGGTGCAAGGCATCGGGCAAAAGAAAATGTGGAAATCTTTACCCTCTTAAACACTTTTTTTTTGCATCTTGAGGGGCAAATTTTGCTGGTAGACTCAACTTATTTTGATAACAATCATTCTATTATCTTCAGAATAACGATGATTTTTGTATGTCAAAAATGAGGGATTGGGCAAAATTATGGTCCATCATGAGCAGCAAAGTTCCGTTAAATGATGGAAAGACGCAGACACTGGCTAGAACACTGGTGTAGCTGGAACAGTAAAAGCAGTCTTGATCATAGCATGATAAAGTTTAAGTAAGGAGACCACTCAGAAATGACAGACCCAAGAAATCAAAGCAGAAGATCCCAGAAAGCTAGTTTAATCAGCAATATTGATTGACTACAAAAGGTGTAAAAACTATAAGTGAAAAGAAGTACAAAGGACAAGTAGCACCCAGACACAGCAGTCCAGTGTACTTTTCATTTAGATCTTCTTACTATATTACATCTTGTAGAAAATTACATAATTATATTGTACATCAGAAGTGTTCTAGAAAAGATCAGATTGAAAGAAGGCACATACAGACTTTAGCGGAAAAGCCAAATAAGCAAGGAAGTTTGGAAAACAGGCTACAGTATACACTTACCTTATTTTGCAGTTCTGAAAACATAGTGAAAATTTGAGATTCAAAGATCTTTTCTAGAACAGGCCTTCCTGCTTATCACAATTCTATGAGTAGCTAATGTTTTGATGCAAAACAAAAGCAAAACAAATTCTACATTAACTACACAATAAATACATGTAGGTACTGTACAATGATTTGTCCATGCAAACTTTGGCACAAACTTCAGTTAAAAAAGTTACAATGTATAAAAAAATGGTCTTTGTGAGAAAACTCTCCTCACAGTGTCCTAAAATGTTGTTAAAATCTGTCATGGGAATAAAGTTGATTGAAAAGTTATCAAGACACTTTGGTATCAAAATGTACTAAAATATATATTATTATCTACAAGGTAGGAAAATATCTTCTAAAAATAGTTATGAAGTGCTATGTGACATGTACATTATGTGGCTATCAGATTTCACAAGGAAGAGGGGATTTCAGATACACTAGCTGCCTGTCACTCTAGCTAACTACATCAGATTCTACATGTAGTTGAATGAGGTAACAAGGGATATGGAGTGAAGACATCGAGGTATGTATGGCTTCCTATAATGATGGAAACCTTTTCAGTCCTTTCCTACACAAAGTCTTGCACTTACATGTAAAAATAATGGAAATACAGTCCCCTTACATTGTAATACGGACTTTATCACTCTGTAGATAGAGGTATATTGTTTTTGAAAATGATCGAGGAGTATATTTTGTATGTAGATAATTTCAAAATGCTTTTCTGCACAGAAATGTCCGGTAAGTTCAAGACTCAACAGTATTAGCTATTACATTTTGTCCATGAAATGGTGTGGGATGTAGCCAGTTGGAAGGCTTGGCTAACAACACACATTTCAGCACCAAGGACAGGCACATGGTTCCCACAGATACTATGTCAATGGAAACAATCATTTTCAGAGGAATGTGTAAAATGGAGAAAAAAGACTCAAAACTGGCCAGGCCCAGTATTTTACAGTGGAATGCAGTACAGCCAAAAAAGATATCAAAATTGGTTCCTGGAATGTGTGTCAGTTCGGTTGTTTGGTAGTTTTGGTCGCTGACATAAATGATTACATTTTTGCAACAATGGAATATGGGAATCTCATTTGTTAGTTGGTCCACTGTTATGTGGCACATTTGGGACTGCATGTGTTAATTTCTTCCATGAGCATGTCGGGAGCTACCCCTACGCATGGGTCTGTCCTCCATGTAGATTTTGCATGTGCCGCAGCAGCGCTTGACAAAGTAGGGCCTCACACAGAAATTAAACCTGAGAACCAGATCACACCAACTCCTGTCACGCCGGTCAACACACCGAGCTATGGCTGACGATAGGAGAAAGGCAGGAAGATATTAACACCGGAGATACATGCGTAGAAACTATGTAGAGTCAAGGGGAACTGTTACAGTGCCAAACATTTTCAAAGCAGTCTAAAGTACAATTTATAGAATCATAACTGAACAGTTGCATGCTTTTCCCTGAAATTGCGCTGGATGCCATTAGGTCTACAGTCATCGATGTGAGATGATTTTGAAGTAAATGTTATAAAGTATATGCAGTACAAAACAATATTGAATCAGATTATTATATATTCACTGACAGACATATTGAGAGTCTTACCTTTGCATTTCTTCTCCCTTCTGTCCATGTACTCTCCAGGTCCACAGCTGGTGATGCACTCCCCCCTGTCCAGAATGGTATCATCCCCCCTGCAGCTGTCACAGTCGGAGCCGGAGGGACCGCTGCAGGTCTTACAGGACTGGTGACACGGTCGGCACGACAACTCAGCTGTGTCTCTGTCCTGTGGGCACAGGCAAGGCTTGAGTATAAAATACAAACTAGAAAGGTAACATTTGCAAAGCAAATGCATAATGTTTATCTTTGCATACATTATCTCTGCTCTGCTAATTCTTACTTATATATGGTGACAAGAGTCTAAATACCTCCTGCTATAAAATTGCAACATGATGTAACCCAACACTAGTTACCATGGTGACAGACGTCTGGTTCAGGACATTGACCTTACTTGTTTGAAGAAGAAGAGAAGAGGAAGAAGAAACAGAGTAAAACAAACATAAATACATGTATGAGGTAAGGTGGTCTTATAGTTAGGGTTACTAAGAGATGTGATTTGTACCTACCCTGTCCTGGTATTCCCCATCTTTACAGGTCTCCTCTGGTCTACACCGCCCATCCACAACAATATAGGTGGGGGCACACTCTAACATGGGAGAAAACAGGAGTTAAATACATTAAAAACAACCACCGCTACTTTAGTGCTGTGTACGTAAACCCACATTTAGGTTTGGGTCTGGATTCCAGTCCAGAGGTTTGGTTCTCGTTAGATTTGTGCATTCATATGCAGGTCATGGTAATATCGAAGGATAGTGGGAGGAGTACTAATTTACCTCATGCGGGGTGGGAAATTACCGATACACACTGCTGGAATGGCCGAAAGAACATTGATCTTGCCTGCATTTTACTGTAATGTTTAAAACGTTTAACGATCTCTGGCGCATCAATTAGATCAACATTTTCTCCTGTCACTGCTTGCCCAGACAAGCATCTCGTTCAGTAGTTTGTTATGTACAATGTACCTGTGCAGTCTCCATCATTGTCACAAGCCCGACAGTTGGAGGGGCAGTCCTCACACCTGCCTGTCTCACTGCTGTAGTACTGGTCCTGGGCACAGCTGGACTCCACACACTCATGGGACTCCGCATTGGCTATGTACCCTGCTGGGCACGTCGACTCACACCTGCTTTCTATAAGGCAAGAATAGAACACAGTGCAATTAATTGGTTCTGCACCATATTTTACTACTAAAGAAACACTGTAGTGGTCTGAATAAGAGCAAGTTTAAACATGACATTGTGCAACAAAACAGATTTAGTAATATCAGGGCCTAGGAACTGACCCTACAAAAACCTGACGACCCTAGCCTTGGGGTGATTTTTGGAACTGATCGACCTTTTGATCTGACACCGTGTAGTATATTATTAGTCATTCCCACCCAAGAAAACAGACAGTTCAATGTGAAATGTGCCAAAATTTGATGTGTCTAAAGAAAAAGTGTAACAGCACCAATTCCAACATCCGAATTCGGTGTTCGAAGTTTCGGTGCACGCGAAACGCGTTCGAATTATTCTATGGAACATTTGAAACCTTGTAAGATCGAAAAATAGAACCCCAGGCCGTACTGCTAGTTATCACATGGGCCGGAACACCTATATCGAACGTAATTGCAGCCAGGTATGGCATAACGATCCCTACCATGTAGAAAGGCCCCATCCTCACATGAGAGACAGTGGAAGGAGGCAGCACCACTGCAGGTGAAACAGCTGGAGTCACAGGGCTTACACTCCTTGTTGGTGTCATCCTTGTAGTACCTGTTGGGACACCCTGTGCCACAGCCATCGGGGGTCTGGAAAAACAGCATATTATTATATATTATTTGAAGACTTCAACATGAGATATTATACAGAATTCAGTGGTAAAGTCCTTTTTTCAGTGATATGCAATATTGTTCTGCAGTTTGTATATACTTTCTGCAAATACACAACTTAAAAGTCTGGATCTAAATCCATGGCATACATTGTACAGATATGTAAACGTATACAAAATTGCATGTTAGCAAACAATTTTCTCATGCAATTTTAAAAATATGAGTCAGTAGTAAACACAAAAGCTCTTCAACACCATTGAACCCCTAGTCTGATTTTTTCAGTGTGCAAAATTGCAGGTTGGTTAAGTTTTCTCTTGAAGAAAGTGCATATTTTTTTCTGAGAAAATCCGAGAACCAACAAACTAAATTGGTGTGGCCTTACCTTATAGAACCCCTCCTTGCAGGAGTTACAGTCGTCGATGTTTGGCCCGTCGCACGCCTCGCAGTTCTCCTGACAGGGACGACACTCCCTCTCCTGGTCATCAGCGTACGTGAACGACGGGCAGTCCCGTCCTCTCACACAGCTGTCTTCTGTCAGGTAGTAATTCTCATCACAACTGTCACAGACGTCAGGGCCTGTGATACGAAATAGACTTCAGTGAAGGCCTAAAAAAATGTTGTGTTTCCTGTTTCAGTCCAGAAAAAAATAAGGGTCGGTAGGTAGGGATTTTCTTTTTTTTTCCCCTTCTTTTTTTAGATTTCGGCAATCTCTAGTGACCCAACTTGTTTGCAATTTCAAAGTATATTTTCAATGTTGCTAGAAAAGGTCGATCAGCTCAAAAACTATATGTACTTGCTGGGATTCACACAAAAAATGGCCAGAGTCAGTACTAGTTGGAAAACAGGAAACACAACATTTTTTTCCTAGGCCAAAGGGAAACTATCTCATACAAATTCCTTAAATATTCCCAGTATTTGAAAGAATTTAGTGTGACTAATATGCTTAAAGTGTACATGTAGATACATTTTTGGGGGGATTGGCCCAAACAACAAAAATTTGATCCACTGAAGTACAGCTGCTGTTATGCAATTCCAAGTAGTGTGCCTGGCATGTGTACATGTACATGTAGTATGATTTTCCAACCTTCTTCACAAGAGTGGCACCCCTCTGCACATTCCTCCTCCTGTGCCTGGCTGCCTTCGCTCTGACACCGTCCGTCTGTCGGAGTTTTCTCTTCCTCGCACAGCGTACACTGGTCGTCAGCGGGACCGTCACAGGCGATACACCCGGGAGCACACGCCTTACACACCTGGTCTGTCTTGTCTCCAAACAGCCCGGGGGGACACACCACATGGCAGGTGCCCTGGTACAAGAAGTGGTCCTCTCCTTCATAATCTACATATTAAAAGACACAATTTGTAAGCATACCAGCTTCATTTGAAAATGCTGCACACAACTGTTATTACTATCTTCCTAAAAGCTGACAGAATATTCAAAAACATGTACACATGACTGACATGAACATTCACTTTTCATAATCTAAATATTACAAGACACAACTTCTAAGCATACTACATGTACTTCATTTGAAAATGCTGCCTAGTCACAGTTAGTAACATTCTGAACATTGTAAACTGTTATACAATGTCAAGTAGTAACAGTTCTTATAAGTTGACTAACATGTACATACAATGTACAGATGAACATTCACTCTATGTGACTTTTCTTCCAAGACGCTTCAAACTACACTGAAGAAAAATGGTGGATGCCCTCTGAAAGTTTCTATGCTTTATAACAGTTACTGTAAGTCGTGTGTATTGGTTTAAAATTCTTCCTGTTACTAAGGATTGTTACTGGTTGTCCACTGACCTTGGTTACACTGGTTGCACTGGTTGATCTCTCCCCCGATGCAGCCCAGACAGGAGGGGTGGCAGGGATGGCACTCCCCGTTCTCAGGGTAATGCCTGTTCCCACAGTACTCCACACATGTCGTGTCATATAGGTACCTACAGCAAGGATTCAGCACTGTAAGTATTGTTACTGGTTCTCAGGGTAATGTCTGTTCCCATAGTACTGTACACGTCGTGTCATACAGGTACCTACAGCAAGGATTCAGCACTGTAAGTATTGTTACTGGTTCTCAGGGTAATGTCTGTTCCCACAGTACTGTGCACGTCGTGTCATACAGGTACCTACAGCAAGGATTCAACACTGTACATGTAAGTATTGTTACTGGTTCTCAGGGTAATGTCTGTTGGACCCACAGTACTCCACACATGTCGTGTCATACAGGTACCTACAGCAAGGATTCAACACTGTAAGTATTGTTACTGGTTCTCAGGGTAATGTCTGTTCCCACAGTACTCCACACACGTCGTGTCATACAGGTACCTACAGCAAGGATTCAGCACTGTAAGTATTGTTACTGGTTCTCAGGGTAATGTCTGTTCCCACAGTACTCCACACATGTCGTGTCATATAGGTACCTACAGCAAGGATTCAGCACTGTAAGTATTGTTACTAGTTCTCAGGGTAATGTCTGTTCCCACAGTACTCCACACGACGTGTCATACAGGTACATGTACCGGGGGGGGGGGAGCAAGGATTCAGCACTAGTCCAGATTTAACTCAAGAGGTTTAGGTTCAGGTCTCTGGAAAACCCCAATGAAACAAAGCTTGAGAACCAGGTTGATGCCTTGGTGCACTTAGTTTTATGTCACTGTCCCTGGTGCTGAATGATACTCCCTTGGAAAGTGGTAACAGTGCTTTAGAACTGCTTCTACTCTTCTGCTCAATGGCCAAACTAGTGAAACTACATTTTGTACTACTCTGTAGCCAGAAAGACATCTAGTGTTTGACATATTCAAGTCTTAGCACTCTGATTCTACGATGTCTACTTGCTATAGTTTGAACTTAAAATGTTCGAGAACCAAAGACTGAAACAATTTGGTGTGGCTTAAATTGAATATAATGATTAAAAGATGTTTCTCACTTGTCGTGATGACACTCCAAGCACTGGTCAGCTCGTGAGCCGTTGCACTTCTTGCAGATGGTGTTACACTCCTCACACCTGCCCTCCTCTGTTCCATACTCACCTGTACACAGGTGCAGAACATAACTAATGTTTGAAAGGAAACATTTGCAAAGCAAAATGCATAATGTTTATCTTCGCACATGGTTTGCTGTTATTATTCAAAAACATCCATATGATCAGATAGGAGTCTAAATCCCTCCTGCTATAAAATTGCAACATGATGTTGCAACACCGGTTACCATGGTGACAGACCTTTGGTTCAGGTCATTGACCTTATTGGTTTGAAGAATAAGAAGTAGAGGAAACAGTCTGCATGGGAGCAAATTCCTTTGGTAAACATACATTTTGTAACTATGGAAAGAGCTGTGAATGTATTCTGATGACACTGGCATAAAGGTTAGTAATACACAGTATAGAAATCTATAATAGAAAATACCAAGAAAACTCACCATCTTCACACAAGGTGATGCACCTGCTGGTGTCGTCATCCAGCTGCAGGTGTCCTGAGCAGGTGAGGCACTGGTCGTCTCTCGGCCCTGAGCAAGATGCGCAGGTGGCATGGCACCTGAAGTGTGACAATGACATAGAACAGGAATCGAAATTAATTTTTGGGAATAAGTGCACTGGTGCACCCAACCTTAAACATTGGGTGCACAAAACATTTTTCCATCAATCTTATAAAAAAAATGTGATTACATGAATCACTTTTCAACTTCTCTCAAAAGTCACAGTCACAAGGAAAGAAAGAAAGTCACATTCCATTACGTCAATAGTTTAATAAGGTTTTAAGTCACTGAATAAAAGACTCTTTTTAGACATATTAATGAATGGGGTCCCAAATGTGATACCATTAGATACCATTCCCTGTAACTGTATTTTGGAATGCATTTACATGTCCATGTACATGCACAAGCAGAGACAACTGTGCTGTGTAAGTTCAACCAGTCAGAATTGCCCTGAGGAAAGTGACAGAAGATCACCGAAACATCAGCTGAAACCACTTGTTGGTGTAAAAAGAGGCAAATGTAAGAAACTGACTGACTTGAGACATTCATAGTGCTGTTTGAAGAAGCCAGAGGAACAAGTCTCCACACACTGGGACTCCTGGAGGAGGTCCTCATCTGCACAGGTCACACAGTCGGTGGCATCAGGACCTGAAACAACACACAGAGCCATTAAATGGTTAAAGCTGCATTATGTAACATTAGGACAACACAGAAAGTAAATTTCTGGAAAGTCTCTTTTACAAAGTTAGTTGAATCAAAGTTACTCCATGTACAAGAAAGTGCCATGGAGTAAGTAGAGCTGCCGAAATGTGATGTCTTACAAGTGTGTTTAAAATCTGTACATTCTGGTACAATGTAGTTTGTGGTGGCACCTCAAACTACATGTACATGTAAGACTTAGTGTACATGTACCTCGCGTGGGTTGATTTAGAACCAACCATAAATATCAGATATGTAAGATACATATATTGCACAAATATGTTTAAAAGTACATGTAAAAGTACAATAACAAAGATTTTCTGATTTACATATTTCAGTTTTAACGTTACGTTACCATGATACAAAAAAAATGTAGATCTACATGTACATTTGTAAGAGGAGTTGAAAAGCACTCCGTATAAGTTAACTGCAATCTTGAAAGTGTTCACATTTATTTAGCACTAACAGAAAAAAAAAACAAGACTGGAAGTGAATTCCACACACAGCCTGCTAGTCCTTGACTGTTTCTCACCTGTGCATGTTTCACAGGACTCGTGACAGTCCTGACACACGTCGTGTTCGTCCATGTACCGTCCCTCCGCGCACTGCGCCACGCACGTGTTCTCAAACAGCTTCAATCCGTCCTCCTCATCACAGCTGGTGCAGCGGTCCGCGCTCCCCTCACACGTCAGGCAGTCCGCAAAGCAGTCCAGACACTTTCTCTGTTCTGCAAGATATCAAGACTTATATGTAGCACACATTCAAACTTGAGTAAGGTCTAGGAAAAAAATGCTGAGTGTGTTTCCAGTTTCCTGACTCCCCTAGAAAAAACTGCCGACCTAAGCCTTTTTTTGGGTGGTCCCCTGCATATTTCAAGCTGATCAATCTTTTTTAGATTGCACTGAAACCAGAGTGATGAAACGTTGTACAATCAGTAGCTGTTTTCCAACATTGGCATATTAGTGTCCTCATGCAAGTTTTACTTTGTTAATGTATTGTATATACATGTACATGTATTATGTTGGACCACAAGTTGGATCACTGGAGATTGTCAAAGACTAATAAAAAAAGGAGAAAAAAAAGAAAATCCCCACTTTCAGACCCTAATTTTTCCAACACTGAAACAGGAAACACAACATTTTTTTCCTAGGCCTAAAGAGACTCTTTTTACACAACCAAGACATTTAGTGTTCTTTTCACGGCTGACGTTTCGGTGACCACCTGTCACCTTCCTCGGGGCAATTCTGACTGGTGCGCATTGCACTATAGCAGCTACATGTATGTTATTCTATAGCTGCAGCAACACCTGTTTCAACTTACTACATTAAAAGATTGACCAGAAAATTGACTTTGAGAAATTCAATCCAGTTTTGCTGCCCTGAAATTGCATTGGATGCCAACTGTCTCCTACCCTCATCCTTGTAATAGCCCTGTCCACATTCCTCCTCACATGTTCCCTCGTCCTGTACTAAGTAGAAGCCTTCGTGACAGGACAGACACTGGGTGTCCCGTCTGCCATGGCAGGTGGCACAGGAACTATCACAGTGGCGACAGTGGTGGTGTTTGTGGTCATAGAAGTACCCGTCCTCACAGTCGTCTGTAGTCACAAAACACATATCCAGTTACTAGATGAGACCTAAATGATAATCCACAATGTTTCATGAAGTTACATGACTGTATCATTAGACAAGGAGAAATTCCTCCAATGATTGTAAAAGTTATTCCATACTAGCCATACACTCTGTATTAGTTAGGTTAGCCTTTATGGAAGCGTAGTTATGCACTCAGTCTAGTAGATGCCGATACCTTGCACCCTGTACAATTGTTGTGCAATACAATTTTATATTATGTACTTTGTGACTTGCACAGTATTCTATCCAGCCTAATTTTTTTTCGGTCATCTCAATTTTGTTAGACATAACATCATATCAAGTGCCAAAATTGTAAATGTTGACCTCTTGAAAAACTATTTACTGCATTTTGAGTAGCAGACTAAGCTTAGTTAAATGACAGCTCTTTGCATACCTCTACACACCGATTTTGATGATCAACATACAACTGTTGATGAGAAGCTAAAAGAACACTCAGTTACCTTCATCAGTAGGCTCCTCCCGAGTCTGAGGTGTGTGAATCCTGGACTCCTCGTCCCGTTTGTACAGCGGATGTTCCTCAGTGCCGTACAGAATCAGCTTCCACTTCCTCAGAACAGCTGGCGGGGAACATCACAACATTACAGCTTTGGAACATTTACACTCCTGTTAGCTTACAAGCTTCCTACTGGCACTATGTAGGAAGTAGTGTACCTACACATCTTAGTGAAAAAATACACAACTACATTGTAGAAGGATAACATTTGCATTTAGCAAATGCATAATGTTCACCTTCTCATATGGTCTGCTCTGTTCATACGGTCAGACAGGAGTGTAAATCCCTCCTGCTATAAAATTGCAACATGATGTAGCCCAACACTAGCTACCATGGTGACAGATGTCTGGTTCAGGTCATTGACCTTATTGGTTTGGAGGAGAAGAAGAAGAGGAAACAGAGCAAAACAAAATGTTTTCCTTCAGTTAACATAAAAATATGGGAACAAGAAAAATCAATTACCTTTCCAGATACATTGTACTAATGCCTTTAAATTGCTGAGGTTTCATATGCATTTATCAACTGTGTGTACACTCCCCCTCCCCTAAAAGACACTAAGAAACAGACTGTCAGACTGCTTCAGTGAGTGTTAGGCCAGTGCCTAGACGTGGCACATGTGGCTTTGCACGGGGCAAACTCGATACAAAAATGTGAGCTGCACACAGATGCAAGGGGGAGGATGACATTGGAAACTTACGCAGTACAGAGCGAAGGCCGTATCTTTGGCAGTTTGTCCTCCCCAGGTCTCTAACTTCCAGAACCCAGTCTCCATATGGTTGTTCTCCCCAGCAGTGAGTTGTCATGAAAGACCAGTCCTTTAGACCCTGTACACAAGAGATGGATAAACATTCATTTCACACCACACTTCATGGTACCATGTACGCGCACATTGATTTTCGCCTGTTCTCAAAAAAAAAAAGTCACGTCCACCAAGGCTCTGGTCTGGCTCTAGGCTTGGGTAGTCCATGGTAGTTAGCGACAATACGGAGCCTGTGGTAACTCTGGAGGATGCCACCCAGGCTACCAAAGCTCCACAACTCAAGAACTCAGTACATACGTACAGTGCCGATTCATAAATTCCGCAAAAATGTGCCGGCTTGTCGTATACGTCGCTAAGTACTCCCGCAAATTCACAATACCAGCTTTGTATTCCTGTCGTTTAGTAGCATTTTTTTTATTCGCCCACGTGCACTAATTTGAAGGTCTTCAGAGGATGTCATCCATAGAATTAAATTGGTGTGGCCTAATATACAACAAAATGTCTTACATCTGATGATGAGTCAAACTGCCTCTGCGGCAGCAGTGTTGACCGCGTCCCTGCGGGTGATGTGATGTGTATGGACAGGTCACCCCTGCAGGGGTGGTCCAGGGTCATCTGTACCACCACGTGCTCCAGGAACCTCACATGGCGGTCAGTCCCATTACATCCGCCCGTGGTCTTGGTGTCCACGATCATCTGACCCTTGGTTATCGCCCTTGGAGGAAAACATGTTCAGTAAGAAATAGGGACTGTACGAAATTTTCCTACCTTCTTCCAACGAAAAATGCTCCAGAACATTATGAAAAACTTTCATAAAAAATTTCATAAAACATAATGTAGTAGATACTATTATTACCTGTTAGACAGTTTTCTTAGTTTACCATTACCAAAAAGCTTTAAAGGTACCCAATGCAGTTTTTAGGCCATGAAAACCAGAATTTTTTAAATTTAAGTCAATATTTTAAGTCAAATGTCTACATGATGCTAAAATGAAACAACACTATCCTGATATACATGTATATAGACATTCGTTGATCAAAAATGCTGAAAATTGTGACACAAAACGGCTACTGCTAAGATCCTTGGCTCATTTTTGGGGTACCACCCAATGCAGGAAACAAAGGACTCATCTTGGGGGCTTGCTTCTGCACAGTTCTAAATGCCTTAAATATGAAATAACTCAGAGGCAAAAGTGCTAATGTTGGACAGTTTGTGTCAATATGATACAGCTTTCCTTATTCAAAATGTTCCATTTTTGCATTGGATGCCTGTAAGCAAGTTTACAAGTAAGTTTCTGGCACATGCATCATGTTACATGTACCTTTGCTGTGAACTTGGTTGTTCCTCACACACGTGTTGTTCTGGAACTTTCCTCCAGCTTTCCGCCAGCTCCACCATCTTCCCCGCGTCCATCAGGCCAAAGCCGAAGTTGTGGCTGACGCGCAGCCCGGCGCCGTTGGTCACGAAGTCGCTCTCCTTGCGTGGGTCTCGTGGGTACGACTCCGAGTCCTTGTCCAGAGGGACGGGGTTGGCTGCCATCACCACGATGTACTGCATGTCTCTCCATGTCAGCATGGGGCTGCAGGAACAAACATATTCATTAGAAAGGAATTTCTTCTTCTTCACCACATTCCAGGGCTTACATGTAGCACCAAGGACACAACAATTCAATTTGATGGTTCACGGATTCGCCCGCTTCATTTTTTTCTGATTTGTCTAATGTCTATCTACGAGAACGGTCCAAATTCTCTCGAGTCTGGAGTCCGCCATCTTGAACGCATCTTGTTGCACATTTTAACCATACTGGGATAAGTTCATGTCACAAAAAAACAATCATGATTAACAGACACAGTTAACAGATATGAAATAAAAGTAACAATATTTAAACCAATTCAACGTCTTGCTTTTCGTTTATAGTAGAGATACATGTAAAAGAACCAGTACTTTGCATTTCAATGGAAGGTTTGTCTAGTTGAATTAGGAGTTTTTTTACAGTCCTTTTAAGACTGTAAGTAATAGGGAAATAGATTTTATACTATGGATTAAAACTTACTTTGCCTCCAGCGCTAGAGCACATATCCCAGCAGCCATTGGTGCAGAGGCAGATGTCCCTGTGTGCGACTCTGTACAGCCTTTCCTCAAGTCTGTGGTGATCTATGGAGGAACAGAGGGGAAAAATGGGGAGTTAGAGTAAAGCCACTGTCACACATAGCTGAATATAGCCTGCCGAACACTAGTCAAACTTCCCCAAACTATGGTTAGGAGTAGGTCGGGAGCAAGGTCGTTTCAAAATGTTTAAATATAATAAGCATTCGAATGTTGATGGGAGGTTTGGCTATGGTTGTCTGGTGGTTAACTGATGTTTGCAAATTGTCCTGGCCATGGTTGTTAGTCAACTTTGACTCAAATTCAATTCGTATCAAATTTATATTGTATTGTATTGTATTGTATTGGGTGGGCTGAATTATGAGGTCTGGAGATTAAAATTATCGGATCTGGAGTGGCTGCCATTCGGCCTACTCTTTTTGATAAGTGTGGTGGGTTCTTTAATGTGCGTGGGGTGTGGCTCTCCCATACACTGGACCTCCATTTAACGTTCTATCCAAGGGACGTCCCTAACTGAAGCTAGTTAGTACTCATTTACACCTGAGTGAAGTGAGAAAATTCGTGATAAGTGCCTTTCCCAAGGGTACGACGTTGGTGCATATAGGTGGAATCAAACCCAGGACGCGTGGGTTCCGTGATAAATGCTCTACCATTACGTCACACGGGGCCACACAAGAGAGACTTAAACCTTCCGTAAGACTTACCACTTTCCTCTCGTGTGGAGCTCCACTGCTGTAGGTTGTGGCCAGTGTTGAGGCGCAGGGTTCCAGGTACCACGGCACCTTGCCCTGTTCTGATGCGCTGCTTACAGATATCGTGTAGATACTGTTGGTGTAACCGTCACAGCCACAGCTGTCGTATGTACGGCCTCCATTGCCTGATGCCCAAACGAAGATGGAGCCCAGCCCGTCTCTACCCTGGTATAGAAAGTAGTGTTAAGGCACAACATCGAAATCACTATCATGAAAGTTCATGTGTTACATGTGTAGTACTGTTACATGTTTAGAGTTAAAACTTTAGATCCAACACAAAAAGTTCTCTCACCTAGAGCTTTCAACCAGTCACGTTGGTCTAACATCGGGCATAACATTGGGCATGTCGGGGGATCGAAACCTGGACCTTTTGGTTCTGAGACGAACGCTTCTACCATTGTGCCATGTGATGCCACAAAAAAATTGTACATAACAGAGTTTGCTGACCCTTTCCGCCCCTTGTGCGAAGGTTTTTGTGGCCAGATTGGCGGGCCCGTCCACGGTTTTCCCATCGTCATCAGGTCCCCAGGAGGCACTGTAGATCATGATGTGCTGCGGGTTCAGACCGAGGGAGGCCGCCTCCACCGAGTCTGTCACATCTCCATCCAACATCCGCACTCCTGCAAGGCAGAACAACTTGGGAACTCAACTTTCTAATGTTCAAGTCAGTATCCGTCTTTCTATCATTTGATGGAATTTTGCTGCTCAATATGATAGACAAAAAATTTGCCTAGTCCGTCATCTTTGATAGATCAAAATCAGCATGTAGATACATGAAAAGAGATATCATCAAACTAAGCTTAATAAATAGTCTGCCAGCAAAATTTGCCCCTCAAAATGCAGACGTACATGGAGTGTTTCAGAGGGTCCAGATTCAAAACTTTTGATCCCCAGGACCCCCCTTGGATTGTCCCGCCTTTGGCAATGAACATGATGTTACACAAAGACAAAATTGAGATGACAGAAATAAATTTTAGGCTGGCTACAATATTGGAATTTTCTTACTGCTTTAGGAAGTTGGATTAATTTTATGATGTACTTTCCAACTATCCTAAAGAAATATTCTCTGAATTTTATTGGTCCTATCTTCTGGAAATTCCATTAAAACAGTCTTAATCCGCTTATAGTAGTTCTCTTTGCATGTGATGCTAACTGAGGAGTTGCCTTACCACCTATTCTTGCCTTGTAGGCCACACCAACACTACAGAAGGAGTTGTTTCCCATTGCTGCCACCTCCCCTGCACACCTGGTACCATGTCTGACAGAAAAAGTCTATATTAGTCTGAATCAGGTGTGCATGATTGTATAAGTTTCAAGTTTATTTATATACACACGTCATGAACTATATTGTACATGTATATTGTAGTACAAGTCAAAAATAGATAGCAGAAAGGAGAACTTGTTTTCTGCTTTGGAACTTTAAAAGATGCATGTTCATGTATTACAATACAACATGTACAACATGTATGTCTAGCAGTGTATTGGCATCTACATGTATGACGTAAAAGATACTGCCAAATATCACCACACTGGCAGAAAATACTAACTTGCAAAGTACATTTTTTTTATTTTTAACATGTTCTCCCAAAGTGTATATACATGTATGTTCCTCCATGAATTCCAGATGCAAAGTATACAAAATGAACACGCACAGTAAAAAAGATAAATATTACAGACAAGCATTTTGTCAATTACAAGTTTAGCTAGCACATGAAAAGCACAAAAGAACTAATTATTGGGCAAAAGTTCATTATACAGCTCCCTGTATATTCAAGTGATGGAGATAGAAATCTATTTTTACCTATTCTCATTGGTATACTCATATCTGGGGGTTGGGTCCAGGGTACCACCATTAATGTCGCTACTAGCATCTGGATCCTACAGAATAAAGGAAAATGCCTAACATCTACAATACTACAGAACAGTACTGTTGAATCACAGACATGCTGCATCGTACAATTGTCTTGCTGGCTTCTTTCATCTATTATTTCCAACTAGATTTTGTGTTGGTGGGGCGAAAAGGAATTGTGCCAGTTTTTCAAAACACCGTGCAGTTTGTCTGTGGTTGTAGCAATGCCTACAATATTAGCAAACTGCTCTAGACTTTCACTTACATGTAATACTACCTAGTAATAGAAATACCGGTATATCCAATTCTAAGAGAATCTAATTCTATGGCAAACAGTGTTCTAGCCAGCATCCGTCTTTCCATCATTTGATGAAATTTTGCCGCTCACGACGTACACAAATTTTATCCAATCCATTATCTTTGTCAATGATAGATGAAAATCAGCATGTAAAGATATGGAAAGCTTACTTTTCAGCAAAATTTTCCCCTCACGTTGCAAAAAAATACCTTTTGAAGATGGTCAAGATTTTAAAATTTTCCCAAGGGATCATGTCCCTAGCCCCAGAATTGTTACACCTGGTGCTCAACATGATGTTATGTCAAACAAAATTGAGAGGGCGGAAAAAGATTTCAGGCTGGCTAGAACACTGGGTACAAGTTAGTACTGTTCAGACATCCTGTGGTCTTACTTGCAGGAGTTGATGAGGTCGTAAGGTGGGGTTGGATCAGGGCTGTGGGTGATTACGTTATAACTGGCCCTCGGGTCCTGTCAGGTCATACGTCAGTCAGGGCATTTGTTAGTCAGTCAGTTAGTCAGTAAGTTGAAGGGAAGTCACGGTTTTTGTCAGTCTGTCATATATAGTCAGTCGGGCTAATAGTGACTATGAAATCAGTCTGTCAAATATGCTACTGTAACAATTAAATGACAAAGAGGCTAGCTACGTAAAATCTAAAATAAAGATGGTACAAGCTATTAAAACAAGAAGCATACAAAACTTTACGGAGAAAAGACCAAATATGACTAGCAAGAATATGTCTAGCCTCTACAATGCTTCAGATAGAAAGCATAGAAATTGGCCAAATAGAGAGATAATGTCATGCCACCGGAGTTGATCCGCTTTTAAAAAGTCAAATGTGCTCCTTCAAGAGACCAACTTCCCTGGCATGTATCTGTCTGTCTTCTGTATTTTGGCCAATTTCTTCTCTTTCCAGCCACTTCTGAAAGCTAGTAGAGGCTAACAATATTAGGTTCACTCACTGTTGAACAATATCGTGATTTGAACTTATAACATAATAAATGACTGTGTAGTTACTGTATCAGTTGATGCCATCATATGCATAAAAAAAGGGAAAGAAAAAGACTTACATAGTTCCCAGCCAGGTCGGGATGGTCAGTTTCAATCCCGTCGTCGAGAATCGAGACCACGACCCCCTTCCCCGTGTACCCCTTCTTCCAGGCTGCCTCCACATTCATGTCTGAAGACTGGCAGGCGAAGCCGGGGCGGTCACAATGCTGGGGGGAACAACAGGTGGTTCAGGATAGCATTAAGTACTGTGTACCAGTTTGCTGGAACTAGTTCCAGACTTGTAAAAATGTTTAGGTTCAAATCCAAAAAAACTGAACATCTGCAACCAGTTCCAGACTTACTAAAAGAAATCATGTCACATTCCCCTTTTTGTTCTAAACCACCTGAAATCTTCAATAGTCAAAACTTTGCACTGCAAAGTGAAGAAAACATTGGCATTTGGCATCGTCAAGTGTCGGCCTCCATAAATTACGTTGCCACACATTTGCCCAGTGCTGAATGACAACAAGTTATATCTTCAGGTTTATCTTGAAAGATACGTAAATTGAAAGATTAAAGTCAGAAAACCTGTAGAATACTGCAAATGATGTTGCCCTCTTTTTCAAATAACATTGGACTAGCATGCAAGCAATCATGTCATTATATCCTTGAAGTACCTTAACTGAAATGCTTTTGCTAAGCTAGCAACACGTCTTACCAAGGAGGTTGTATGATTGTATTCTAACTCTATGGTCTTTCAAAATGAAGTTTGCAAAACCCAGGTTTGCCAGTAACAGTGCCACCTTGTGATAATTTGAGGAAGTGCAGGCAGTATAGAAGATGCCAGATTCTGCCACTTGGTAATCTGTGCACTGCTGTGAAGTAGGTGTCAGTATTCCAAGACAAACATCCCTACTTGTTCAACATGCCCTCAAATATGCACTTGTAAATTGTGAGGCTCTATAAATACAACCTGCATTCTCAAGTGTCAACACTTAAAAGTGACGAAATACTGAGAAGTATTTCACTAGTCAGCAAACAAACATGTACAGATTTAGGCACATTTAAGTTGTATTATACACAGTTATACACCATATTGTGAATATTGAATGTTTTAAGCAATTCCATAGATTCATAATAGAACATTTATTCCACTACTGATATATACTTGGGTCCATACACAACATGTACAATGTATCTTACCATGTCTCATAAATAATCTGTGATCCTAATTTGTGTGCAATTTCTTTGAGACTTCATCCAATAAGCTTCCAAATCCTGAGCACTAAAAGTTGTGAAACCAAGAAAAACAAGGACTGTTTGCTGGTAAAATTAGGGTGTAAACTGGGTTGTACCGTATTGTCAATTTCGATCAATAAATAAAAAAACTGGGATGGTCTTTCTAATGTTAGAGTTGACGTAACTAACATGCGTGAACTGTATCGTTGTTTGAAGAGAATAGATGAAGTGCTGACTTTCTCACAAGTACCCTGTAGTGGCTCTTACAGTGCAGCACACCCTTGCTGAGTTGATCTAAGTGTGGCAGAATGTGGTGTGTCACATAAAAAGCCTAGGGCCAGGGAAAAAAAAGTTGTGTTTCCTGTTTCAGTCCTGAAAAAAATTTGGGTCGGTAGGTAGGGATTACCTTTTTTTTCTTCTTTTTTTTTAGACTTTGGTGATTTCTAATGATCCAACTGATTGTACAATTTTCACCATTCAGGGGTCAGATCATGAAGCTAGAAATCTGTCGATCAGCTTGAAAAATTTGTGCCCCTTGCAGGGGTACACCCAAAAAAGGCTAGGGTCGGCAGTTTTTTCTAGGGACGGTCGCAAACCAGGAAACACAACGTTTTTTTTCCTAGCTACATGTAAGCCTAAACACATTGAATTTCCACAATGCTGCATCATGCATATGCTATGTGCAGTAGTGCCAGTAGCACTACAGATGCAATGCCTTATTTTTTTGCCAGTTTTTTTCCTCATTTGGCAGTTTTAAGAGCTTCTTGTTTATTGTTTCTAGTTCCCAAGAAGCTTGCACCATGTCAGGTACACTCAATGTAGAATGTCCTGTTTGTACAATATTATATTTTTAGCGGTGGCATCCCTCTTATGACCACGACTCTCTGTGAAGTAGTGTGCTCTGATAATCGTGTGACGCAGGAAATTTATTTTTGGCAAAGATATGTCCTCTTGCTGGTAGCAAAAGCATTGTATCTCAAGGGTATTGGGGAATTCAAAAGTGGAATTAGTTTGGCACCTGTAAGTGTACTCTATGGTTCACTAGACTATCTGCATAATTCTAAAATCTGCTGACCTAGCCTTTTTTTGATCGACCGATGGTGAGCTATAAAATTTTCAATCTGACATCTGAATTTCAAACCCTCTGAAGTCTGAAAAGTCCATTCAATGCATTTTCAGAAGGAATTTTTTCTTCAGTAAATGAGGTGAAATATTTGTCCACAAGCAAACAGGTCCTGAATCCTGATGCATTTTAGTAATCTTTATTTGTTGAATCATTTTTGCCAAAATCTATAAAAAAAAATGAAAAACATAATCTCTACTAATAGCATGAAAGTTCATCTGTGTTGGTACAAATCATTATGAAATAAAGACTAAACTTTCCTTCCAACACTGGAATGAACTGGGAGTTACCCCAAATTTTCGACACATCTGGCACGTACATGTATGACCCAGTACTACGCCCATGTCTCTCTGACGTCATGTTCCAAGAGTAGATGAGTCCATTCCGTGAACAAGGTTGAAGGAGTCAGCCGAAAATTTGGGAAAGTCCCAATTTATTCCAGTGTTGGAAGAAAAGTTTAGTCTTTATTTCATAATCCCTACTTGCCTGCTCTAGTTTTTTCAGGACTAAAACTGGAAACACAACATTAATTTTCCTCGGCCTTAGGTGGTCATTAACGACATAACTCACCAGGTACCACATCTTGTCCCATTTGTCGTCATTAAAGTGCGGATCCCAGTGGTTGTCCGGCTGGGCAGGTTCAGGGTCGTTGACCTGCGGGGCGTTCTCCATAACCCTGTGCTCCCAGGGGTTCATGCTGTACACCCTCTTCACTCTTCTCTTCACTCTCCTCTTCACAACCTGCTGTTGTAACCATCTCACCTGGAGTGGGAACAGAGAACATATCAACCAAAAATAGTTTCATCAGGTTGGTAAAGTGTAGGATACAGGAGTTTTATTTTACACTACCAATTACAAGATTTCTCACCTAAGTGCTAACCTTTAGGTGTCTATCAGGTTATCAGGTTTACGAAATGTGGTCTCGCTGAAAAAGTGCCACCTACATTGGCCACATATAGCGGCGAGAAGCAGAACTCTAGTCAGAAGCGCTGAGGAAGGTGTCTGATAGACACCGAAACATCAGCACTTAGGTGAGAAATCTTGGTTGTGTAAAAGAAAACTCCTGTATCCTAGAGGACAGATTAAATCTGCAGACTGTGAAACAGTCGAACAAAAACCTGCACCACCAGCACACGAAGCCTATGCACTAACCACCAGGCTAAAAGATCCAGGTACGGTGGACAATGCGGGATAAAAAAAAAGTAAAATTTAGCCAATAGGGAGAATAATCAACATGGGGAATTTTGCCAGCAAAGAGGTCATTTGCCCGCATACCCTCTCACATACTGACTCTCCTATAACTATTTCCTTTTTTTTACTAAATTCTAGGACCCATACCCCTGGAGGAAGGCATAGTAGAAGCTATATAGGACTGGCCATTTGGTGGCACTTGAACCCCACTGTTACACTACTCCACCTTTTCTGGCAGTCTGGCAAAGGTAACTAACCCGGTATATACATTTCCTGTAACAATATTTACATTCAAGTACTAACAACATCAGAGTTCTATTTCTAAAATCTTACAATAGTTACATGTGCTAATGTCATTGAGAATGATCTCTTACTGACTAACAGTTTGAAAGTACGTCCGATATAGGCGATTTCCTGTCTTGTTAGTTATGACATCAGGATGGCCTCTGGCACGGGGATCTGTTTCCACTGAAGATGGCTTTTGACATTTCCGTTAAATGTTTGTTAAGTCTTAGCTCCTGTGGAGAAGTGTGAGTCACGGAGCCCCCAGAGATGGGACTGCTGACCTGACTGGGGCCTAGGAAAAAAAACGTTGTGTTTCCTGTTTCCCGACTGGCCCTAGAAAAAACTGCCGACCCTAGCCTTTTTTTTTTGTGGATCCCCGCAATATTAAATTTTTCAACCTGATCAACTCTTTCTAGCTCCATGATCTGACACCTGAGTGATGACACATTTTACAATCGTTTTTCTAACATTGACATTGAAACTATAAGTGTCCTGTTATGCAAGTTTTACCTTGTTAAACTGTATTGTATACTGTTAGATCACAAGAGATTGCCAAAGTCTAATATTAGTAATAAATAAAAAAAAGACAGAAAAAAGATAAATCCCTTACCTACCTACAGTACCCTACTTTTTTTTCAGAACTTAAACAGGGCTTCCCTAGGCCTAGGAAAAAAAATGTTGTATTTCCTGTTTCAGTCCTGAAAAAATTATGGTCGATAGGTATACGTAGGGATTATCTTCGCTTTTTTTTTCAGACTTCAGTGATATCTTTATAGGGGTCCAACTTATACAACACAGTTTAACAAAGTAAAACTTGCATGAGGACACTAATTTATTTTCAATGAAAACAAATTGTACAACATTTTATCACTCTGGTGTCAGATCATGGAGCTAGAAAAAGTTGATCAGCTTGAAAAATCATTTACACAGTCATGTATGTCCCTTGCAGGGGTCCACCTCAAAAAAGTCTAGGTTAGGCAGGTTTTTCTACTAGGGTCAGTCAGGAAACACAACATTTTTTTCCTAGGCCTAAGGCCTGACAACCTACAGCTGTTTGTACTGGGCTTATACTGGTATTATCACAGGATGCTGGCAGAAGGTCAACTTGTTTGGCAGCTGTTATACAACATTCAGCTTGTCCTCTGACACCGTGTGGTGGCATATGGAACGAAGACACACAGGATGGTAACCAGGTCTTTCCTGTTGTTCCAGGAAAAATTTTATCCAAGTTTTAGGAATCTCTTTTTCTTTTTCTTCTCCAAATCAGAAAAATATGAAGTGGGCAAATCTTAGAAGCAACAAATTAAATTACAGAGAATTTCTGACACACACACAGTAAAAGAAAAAGCATAAGAGAAAGGAGATCGATAGCTCTATGCAGTGGACTGCCGATGAAAATGTCCGTTTAGATAAACTATCCTGTTTGCACTGACGCAGGTAGAATGCCCAGAAGGCCAATATCCCTAACTACACTATACGTCAGTCAATGAGTTATCCTGATCGGGTTATCGATTTTCCAATTTTGTGCAAACATTTCTTATGTACGGATGACAAAGCAACACGTCAGGCAAGTCAGAAGTTAGGTCTACTCTCAGGTTACAACTAACAGAATTTTTACAGCTTTTACAGTAATGTACAGTAATTACTGTAATTCATTTATGTTCGAGGCAATTTCAATTTGCTGTACATAGGGATAGGCAGATCTTTTTGACATTCTACATTTGTACATACATTTACAATGTGAAAATTACTGTCAGTGATTTCTGATACAATGGAAATACACATTTGCAGTGTCATCCCTTTCTGGGGTCCATAAAAAAAGGCTACGGGTCGGCAACTTTTTCTAGCAAGGGTCGGTCGGGAAACAGGAAACAACATTTTTTTAATTTTTTCCTTGGCCTTACAGCTCCTGTCCATTGATTCTGTGAAAGTTCTGACGTCCCACATGTATTTAGTCCCACATGTATGTACAGTACCGGGTATCGCAGAAACATAAAGCAATCAAAACTCACTTGTCACCTCAAGGTCTCCTTGGTCCACTTATTATAGATTGGATGTGGCAGACGTTATTTCTCATCTAGATTGCGATATTGCCTTCTAGCACCTTGGGATCAATTTCACAGAACAAAATTCCCACAGAACTGCTCACTACGCGAGAAGGCAGTCCCTATATACTCTGCGATTGTATCACCTTTGGATCTGAACATTAGGCCACACTGACTTAATTTTATGGATGACAGCTTTTGGAAACCCCCCAAACTAATGCAAGAGGGAAAAAAAAATTGATGATGCAAAGTGAACCATGATGGAATACTACATGTATCAAGCAAGCAAGAAGTCTATACTAATTTTGTACTACCTGGTACATGTACATAGTATATATACAATGTAGATGATCAAAGGATGTATGTGTACTAGGTCAAAGTCTGACATGTTGTTCACAGACCAAGGATGTATACCATTGGTAGAAATACTTTTTTTTCAGTGTTCTGCAATGTCAAAATTTTGTTCTGCAATTCAGAAATACTTCCTGCAAATTCTTAAAAGTCCAGATCTAAATCCATGGCATATACAAAATTGTATGTTGACATACAAACATTTTGAATGCAATTTGACATGCAAAATATAGAGTCGGTAGTAAACACAACAGCTCTTAAACACCATTGGACCTCTAGCCTGATTTTTTCAGTTTGCAAAATTCAGGTTGCTTAATTTTTCTTCTGCAATATTGAAAATGTCTAGCCTGGGTACCATCCTACTTATATGCCGGGGCTCCCACACTCGCTTCCCTAAGAAGAGTAGGATGGTACCCAGGCTAGAAAATGTCTCTGCAAAATGCAAAATCTTATTGTAGCATTTGATTTGAATACCACTTTCCTGGGTTCCATACAGCCTCAGAGGATATAATTTTTTTTTAAACAGGCAAAAATCAATGAGAGCACGGATGTCATCCATAAGATTAAGTCAGCGTGGCCTTAGGGATAAAAGATATTTGCACGCCCATAACCTTAATATCATTGCCTTTTGTGGGGTGACACAAATGGAACACTGTGACAGATGTGTATTTGCACATTATTTAATATGCGGTATAGGTGGATAGTGTTGATGGAATGGCCTTTACTGGCAGTGCTTTCATACAGCAATGGGAGTTTTATTACAGCAAGAGTGCTGGGATCAAACTGTATCAGATTCTGGGGGTGTGGAAGAATGGAAAAAAGGGAAATGGGTAAATTTGAGAGTCAATAAAAGTACTAAAAGTAATCAAACGAACTTTAAAGGAGGTGAAAAGAGATCTATAGAAAGAAATGAAATGAAAAGAAATGAAATTGTCTGAATATTGCTATAGATTAAACAACTTACATGTACATGGCATTGTATTGTATTATACATTTCCTATGAGTAGATTTCCTAGCATTACTATGACTCACTATAGTCTAGTATAGGGAGCAGAAGCAGCTAAATTTTCCCACAGACATCTCTCCCCAAATGATATCTGTGGATAGAGATGTCTGGGGGCCTACATGCCCTTTTTCGTATGGCGTAATCAGGCCATTTTAGTCTCTGTAATCCGTAGGCAGCCTCCCCAAAAATCAACGTAATTCATAATCAGTACATTAGCCGCAAAACGTTAAGTCATAATCAGCTCTGAAACTTAACGTAATTCCTAATCGGCGGCGAAAATTTTGCGTAATTCGTAATCACTACCCCCACATGCAGGTCCTCATGTCTGTGGGGAAATTTAGGACCGAGGTTTAGGAGAGGACACAGTTTTTAGCATAACTTTCTCTGAGAACAGTCCTAATTGGCCCAGTATGAAATCCTGTACTTACCTCCGGTTCTCTCTGTAACAGTGCATGTCTGTGGCTGCTGGACCGTAGGGAGCGTTTCCACGTCCGCCGGTGAACAAACAAGTAGTGATCCTCCAAAGATCCAATCTGGGGAAAATCAGAACAATCAAGAGGATCATTACCACACAGTGTCACATAGTATCATTCCTACAGAAAGAATTATAGGTGCAGTACCAGGAGTAACCAGACTTTCAAAGCTTCAACGGAAAGATTTATAAAGAGCCCAATCTATTTCATGACCAAGTTTTTAAACGATGCATTAGCCTATAAATTAGTATAATTAATTTTCACTGTTAACATGTCAGAGTTTATTACACCATCACGGATCATTGTTTTAATGGTATTACAAAATGTATGTGTCTTTGAGTTCACGACTTCTGATTAGAATATTTTAGAGGTGTTTAAAAGTGTTTAAAAAAAGGAGAGCAGTCTCATTTTTGCAGCAAGCTGTATAGTTCTTTCTAAGGATATATAATGGACAAGGGCGGTGAGCAATTACTAGTCTTTTTATTTCTAGTATCTCTGTCTTTGTATGAGGTACTGGTAGCAATTATGATTTATTGAAAGGAGGACGATATTCAATTTCATATGGCTCAGTGTAAGCAGAGTAGAGTGTCCATGTAGACAATCAAGTCAGCAGGTGATTATTCTGTTGCAATAATGTAAAGAACCTCTGGCATGTTGTCATTAGTAGTACCCAAAAGACATCAAACCTTTTCTATACCCAGGTTTTACTTCCTGCCTCCTATGGCTCAGGCACTCTCATTCAGTCTCCTGATGCTCCAAATTCCTGCTACTTCAAAGACTCAATTCAAGCTGGGTTTTGCTATTAGACATCCTAAGGCCATACCAGTTTAATCAATTGATTCTCGGATTCACCCGCTTCATTTTTTTTTTCTGATTTTGAAATTCAAGTTCTGAATCAACTCCAAAATGCTCAAATAACAAACAACATACAAAAATATACAATAAAAAGCCCGGAGGTATAAAATCTCAGATTTTACTTGTTTTCATCTATTTATGTAGTGGTTTGATTAAAAGTTAAAAAGTTACTTGTTTGAATTACAAACCAGCCTGTTATTTTGACTTCAGGGCTCCTATTGTACCTTTTGGGGCTATCATAGGTTTTTAGCCTGCTTTTTTTATTATTTTGCCCTGTCACAAATTCACATTTTTTTCTAAAAAAAAAAGAACGAACAAATTACCCTAACTTCTAAAGAAAGCCAGGCCAAGCTAGACTACCATGACCCTACAAAACAAACATTACAAGGTGACTGGCACTAACTTTGTGTGACTAACCACTTCTGGTTGTAGGTGCCTTCCTCCTGTCAATTATTAACTACGTATAACCTTTAACCTCTTTCTAGTTCTATAAGCTGCCTTTATAAGACTCTACACTGAACTGATTTAATTTTTGAGACCAAACACTAATCACTATCCATTAAATGTAGTCTGCATCGCCTTTACACATACGTCAAATGATCAATGATCATGTGCCAATATGGTCTGACCAACTATAAAGCGTGGATTGATTGCAGAGAATACAACAATTGATCCATGAAAAGCCCGTAACAACTTGAAATAGTATCAGGTTACTAATACTGGCCCTTATGCTTGTCTAGTCATGTAACGCTGACCACACAATACCAGATTTTTAGTAGGTTTTACATGTATCTGTAATCTATTCCTATAGGGTCCCTTTGCAATTTGGGACAAAAGGGAACATTTAAAAGACTTCACAATGTATTGAACTATCGTAGAGTGGAACTCTCTGCCACCAAGTACAGTAGGGGCATCACCACTAGATAGCTTTAAAGTTTCACAGTGTAATAGACCATATTCATTGTACATGTCCCATGTACCTCCATGAAAAGAGTTAGATGTGCAATTAGGCATTTAGGCTAGGTGATGAATAGAGTAAGTCAGTTAGATGTGCATTTACTTGATTTAGGCTAGGTGTAACAAGTCATTTAGTATTAGCCTGGGTACCATCCGGATTTTCGCTACGCAACGCTCGAAAAAATCTTTTCGAGCGTTGCGTAGCGAAAATCCGGATGGTACCCAGGCTAATTTAGTATGTAGTATTTTACACAGAAGAAAGAGAGAATGTATTGAAACAGACAGAAATGTTTAAAATTACATCATTGCCAATATGCCATTTATATCCATACTCCTAATCCTATAGCCAAATTTTTTTGAATATGCTAGCTATTGTACTGATTGCTTTGAAAACATTGTACCCTGTATTCATATTTAGGGTGAAATAACACACACTGTTTGGGACCAGCAGATTCATTTTTCTGTATTGCAAAATTGAATTTGATTTTTTTTTAACATGAACACCATCAACACTAGTACTGTTCACAAATTGAAATTCAAATCGTCAGTCTCTCTCTGCAAGGATGATGAAAGTAGAACAATAATCTTACAGCTCTGAATTTGCCAAGTACTGTACAGTAATTTATTTGCCAGTGAGTGACATTTATGTTAGACTGACTTGCTATATTTACATGAAATAAAGGTCAATTAGATACATTATGTAGTCATTGCCTTTTATCCTTTTGTAGTTGATCTTTCACACCTTTAATTTTCTAATGGCTTTTGTCAGACACATTGTAGTCCAATTTACACAAACAATGTATGTTTTTAATTTGGACAATAACTGTAACATTAATTTAAATAACAGCAATCAGAGGAAGAAAAAAATAGCAAACTGCATAATCAAGTATTGAAAGTAGAGCTGTGTACCGGTACGCAGTACCGATACTGTACCGGAAAAATTGATTAGGTACAGGTCCAAAATACCTAATCCCTCAGTACCGGTACTGTTCCTAAACAATTTCACACTAATTTTATGCCTATTTGTGACCTCAAATGTGTAAATAGCTGGTCCACAATGGGTCCCTGTGTAAGGACAGTGTGTTCATGAAAACAAAAACAACTTAGTTTTGCCTATATTTCATCTGAGCATTCGCCATAAACAAAGAATAAACCTTAACTATCAAGTTTATTTATGTTTTTTTGTTATTGAAGGAGTTCAGAAGAGCATATAAATTGGTCGAATTGTTCAGGTACAGGTTCAGGTCCGGACCTGTACCTAAACCTGTGTACCTGTACCTGTACCTGTACCTAAAATTTGTTTAGGTACACAGCTCTAATTGAAAGGTATTATTATTACCTTCGCCAAGAAGGTTATGTTTTCAGAGGCGTTCGTGTGTCTGTGTGTGTGTGTGTGTGTGTGTGTGTGAGCACGATAACTCGAGAACGCCTGGATGGATTGTCTTGATATTTAGTAGGTGGGTAGGTCTTGATGAGACGTGGAACTGATTAGATTTTGGGCCACCTAGCGGTTTGTTATGGTACTGCAGCTGAACTTCCGGTTTTGATATCTTGTGATCTAGACATGCTAGGCTGACGAAATTTGGATGGTAGGTAGCTCTTGTGATAGGGAAGAAGTGACGTGAGTTTGGGCTCCCTAGCTGCTTGCTCTGGAACTGCAGGGGTGTTAGTTGAAAACTGTTTAAAGGCGGATAATTCAAGAACCGATTGATGGATCGTCCTGAGTTTTGGCATGTAGGTAGCTGAAGTGATGCATGACATAATAATATTACAATTATGCAAATATTAATGTAATTTGCATAATTAATGAGGAAATTCTATAAATCAGCTGCATTCCATGATAGGACTATTCAAGCTTGTGACATATGTAATTCAGAACGTCAGAAATACAGGAAGATATTGATTATGCAAATGAAGACTTAATTTGCATAATTTAGTGAGAAAATGTTATAATTACATATTGGTAATGTCTGGAATTTCATACTTGGGATATTTTAAAGTTATGTGAAGGTGAACATAATTAAACATAACTTATTCAAATAAGGACCTCATTTGCATAATTTATGAGGACATGCTATAATGGCATGCATTGATAAGATAAGACTGTCTTCTGGTATAGAATATGATCAGCAGATATAATTGATGCAATATAGGATCCTATTTGCACAATCAGGGGGATTAATCTATTATTTCTTAGTCATAAAGGCTAACATCATTTGGCGAAGGTATGAGATCGTGGAACTCTAGTTGAATATAATCTGCTCTAAACTTTGATGTTTGGGGAGTGTTTTAAACATAAACACATTCTTCCTGAGCAATATGTGACAAAAGTTTTTTCAGGGATTTTCATAATTATTTTCCTTACCAACAGACCGCCTATCTGAATGTTTATAATCCCTGAGAGTACCTAATTGAGCGTCTAACTCTGCCTGACCCTGACCTCCCCCCACCCGCTAAGTCCCCAGGTACCAGACCTGGAAGTATGCGGCCTACCTCAAGTGAATAAGGTACATAACGTTGTATAAATAAACTTCACCCTTGCTTTTGTATCAAGTTACGTCGCACATTTTGGTACCTGAACTTCCTACATAAAGTTACGGTTACGGTCACTGACCATAACTATCAGGTAAATATTCCAGAAATACGAGATACATTCAATCAATGTAAATTGAGATGAAAGCTCTTAGATAAAGTAAGTACAAAGAAGTCTTTTAATACCTGTCCTTTGTTGATGAATCCGTGCTTGAAGGCAAGCCTGTTCGCCGCCTCAGTCCCGCCCTCCACGTGAAGGGCCCACTCGTTCCGGTAAACCCTCGGGCCCTCCGCGGCCACAGTCCGCAGGCTTACCGCACAAAGAGCGGCAGCGAAAAGCGCAAGGACAGCAGACGGCATGGTAGCACAACAGCTCCGGTCCCGGGACGGAATCGCTGTAACACTCACGACGCTACCAAGTTTTTTTTACACCCCAAACAAAATCCCTGACGTGGCAACTAAAACGCCACAAATCTCGGCACTCGACTGTCGAACTTTCGGCCTCCACAGACCAGGGTTTAACACAGCTGAACCGCTCGGTAAACTTTGCGGGCTGAAGTCGTCATGACACTGGCACAGATGTTGGTGTGGGTTTGAAGCTAGCGGCTTGTGGACTGGTGGGGAGAGAAGAAACTCTCCAGGCTGGATCAGGCGGAGTAAATCTATGGCGTCAGCATCCTGGACGCGCGTTGACCCTTGACCGCGTTAAAATAGGGAGTCTGCAGTTGGTAGTCTTATCAAAGGGAGGCGCTACTGCATTGCTTGAGTTTGAGTAAGACCTAATCTCCAAGCAGATGTTTAGGTGGCCGCAAAAGACCGTATCCATTGGCCAGACTGTATCTATTGGCCACCCAACCCAACATCTGCCAACACTCGGCTTGAAGAAAGGTTTGATTATACAACACCTAGTTAACCCGCTAGGTGTAGTCTGTAACCGTGAATACTGTAAAGATTCTGTTCTGCCAGGATCCTTTTACCATCTAGAAGATCACCAAAAACTACTAAGTACTAAGTTACTAAAAATGTACTAAGATCACAAAACCCACTCGTTATGCAGAACGCGGGGCTATTTATTATCCACGTAATGCCTTTAAAGAAGTCAAACTTCATAATAGAAAACATGGTAGTATTAACTATTATACAGGTTGATCAGACTATACAATAGTCATGTAGTTGTGTGTTCTCTTGCTTATTACTAGCATGTTTACCGGCCGAAGCCGAAAAACATATCGTTTTGCTCTGTTTCATCTTCTTCTTCTGCTCCAAACAAATGAGGTCAATGACCTGTACCAGACGTCTGTCACCATGGTAACTAGTGTTCGATTACATCATGTTGAGAATTAACAGAACAAGCCATATGCGAAGGTACCGGTGAACATTATGCGTTAATGTTTATTTTGCAAATGTTACCTTTCTAGTAACTACCATACTTCTTTGACCCTACGTGCAATTAGCCTGTGGGCATTATTTTGCAAAGAAAGAATTATTATTATACTGAGAGGCTCACGCGTGCCAGTACGTTCGTCTTTACCTTTATCGTAACTATGGATGGGCAAAAACGCAGCGTGCTTGTCTGCCATGAGATGAAGTACGTTTATCTCGGTACCCATGCACCCAGTTAAACGCATATTTATGCATAGGGCCGCAGCATGTAAATTCTATGGATGAAATCTAATGCGATAGGGCGAAAAAAACAAGATTCCTACAGTTTCAAATTTTGGCATCATAAGAAATTAAATGATGCATATATTGTGGTAAGTTTACTGCCAACCATTACTGTAACAACATCCATTTGTCACTAAAAAAACTTTGAAAAACAAGTTTTCAATCATTGCACAAATGTCATCACATATAAAAGGAAAGAAATAGTTCACTACATGAAAGTAAAAGACAATGTGAATAATAAATCAGAGCCTTTTCTTGTCTCCTCTCTTCATATCTATCTGCCATCCACGTTCCGGCATGGCAACAGACATCTTTGCCCATTTTCGGCATGTTGACTACTGTCAGAGGGCAACAAAATTTCTTGGGTTTATTTTTCAAAATCGAAAGCGCGCTCAGATGCCATCCAAAAATTACTTGCTGTGGCCTAGCTATAGTTAAAGTCACGCGACAAACAAGTGACAAGTTGTAAAATATCGCCATTACGTTATTTTATATCTAACGTTGTAAACAAGGCAGCTCTTTTACACACGGCAGATCCTCTTAGTACAGTAGTTAAAGTCACCATTATGATGCCTATGAAATTGCTTTTAAAATGTCATCATAATCACTGCAATTTACGATAATAACTGTTATGATATACAGCTCGGTTTAGAACAGACTATGTAATATTACCGCGCAAAAGAAAACTACTGAGTTTAATAAAATCATTGGCAGTTCAAAACGTTTGTTACCTCCATGAATAATGGAGGTTTTGTTTTTGGTGTGTGTGTGTGTGTGTGTGTGTGTGTGTGTGTGTGTGTGTGTGTGTGTGTGTGTGTGTGTGTGTGTGTGTGCGTGTTTCTGTGTGTGTGTGTGTGTGTGTGTGTGTGTGTGTGTGTGTGTGTGTGTGTGTGTGTGTGTGTGTGTGTGTGTGTGTGTGTGTCTGTGTGTCTATCTCTGTGTGTGTGTGTGTGTGTGTGTGTGTGTGTGTGTGTGTGTGTGTGTGTGTGTGTGTGTGTGTGTGTGTGTGTGTGTGTGTGTGTGTTTATGTGTGCATGCGTGTCTATATATGAGTGTGCTTTTTGGTTGTCAGTCGGTTGGGTCGCTAGCTGGTGGAGTGAGAACGATATCGATATGTAACAATTTCTCAGCTATAAGCTCTCTAGCGTGGACAATCCGGACATGGTGTTTGATAATAACAACTTGATCAGAACTACATGTTATAAAAATATTTTAGTAACCCACTCGTTACGGATGAAAATCGATGGGTATAATTTTCCATCTGCCTGCACGCAGAGCTATGGAAAGGTCAGGTATGTTTTCTAAACGAGATCCCGTGACGTGTGCGATGGTTGGGTTGTGTGCAGGCGGTATAAGGCCTATAGCTAGGAAAATAAATGTTGTGTTTCCTATTACGGTTCAGAAAAAATAGGGTCGGTAGGTAGGGGTTCACTTTTTTTCCAAAGTAATCCAACAAATTATGGGTGAGTACCTGTCCGGCTAATTCAGGTCCAGGTCCAGAGGATCAGGGCCAGGTCGGGACCTGTGCCTGATTCTGTACAGGAGTACCAGTAGCATATAATTTACGTTGTACCAGTACTGAGTAATTTTTGCTACAAGATCATTACTAAATACTAAATTAAATGCAGAATACTAAGTAACCACTACATAGATGTTCTTTTTCATTTTATTTCATTTTATTTTATTTTATTTTATTTTATTTCAATTCATTTTATTTTTTTTTCTTTTATTCTATTTTTCTGATTTTTTTCTATTTTTTTCTATTTTATCTGTTCTACACATATTGCCTTTTCTATCCGCCAACCAGGGAACATCTAGCCCAGTATCAAGTCTCCTCGGGGTTGGGTCGGGTTTTCCTCGGGGCTGCAGGAGCTCTTTCCCGCCCGCCACAGCTATAGGTTTCCCGGTAGGTATTTTGCGGTGGTGGGGCAAGTCAACTCCCCAGCGTGCCCTCACTATTAGCGGGGTAACGTTGCACTCCTACCGGGTGGCCTGTCGTATTGCTGATCGGGCGGAAACTATTAGAGCCCCGAAGACACAGCCTGCCCCAACTACTATACCCCAACCACGATTAGACTGGATACCAGGCGAGGGAACATCCGCATGGTGCTGATATAACGTTATTAAAGCTAATCATGTAACATTGCGACGATACAAAAACATCAATTTTCTGGTAATTCTTTTTACAAAGTAAGTTGAATCAACCCTACTCCGTTGCAAACATTCCCAAACGAGTAATTACCATTCAGGAAGGCGAGTTGCCAAAATATTAATGTTTGCTGTGCTTGGATGTCATTCAGCACCAAGGACAGGTATTTACCATGTTAACCATCTAGATATGGTGACCAGGGACAAGACTGTTTGGCTATTTGTAGCCAAATACATGTATATTCAGGAACAGGAATGTTTGGCTTTATGTGTGGATGGCGTTCAGCACCAAGGACTGGCACTGCATAACTTAACTACTTAACTTAATAACGTTAACTTGGTTACTGGTTAACGTTAAGTTATAACTGCCACACTTTTGACGTGTCCTTGTATTCCCCTTCCATGAGAGTGTTGGCATCAATGTTCTACCCAGTGGCACGCCACAGTTTCTGTTTAAACGTTACAGAAATAAAGAAAAAATGTGCGCTTCTACCCAGAAATGATTGCATTATTTTTATTCAAATATTCAAATTATCAGCTGAGGACCAACAGGTGGGAAGTACCCATGAGGCCATGGGAACTCACAAGTTCCAAGATGGCGGCAGAACGTGGAGCGGGAGAAACTTCTGCTAAAACGTCGTCTCTGGAAGACGACAAACGACTGTTTTAGTTGGTAAGTAGTGCGTAATTTTGTTCTCTGTATCCTTGTGACCACTTTTGAGCAGTCTTGCGTGGAAAGACGCCGTAACACCACAGAAAATTATGAGCATGTGGCGCGGCATACACGAGGGCGGACAACACCACAACAATGATCCAGTGCAGAGAATTAACTACTTGCATGTTCTCCACGTGATTTTGATATTTCTCTTTCTTGCTGCTATAATTATATCCAAAACTATAGAGTTAATAGCCGCCGTGCAAAATATCACCATCATGGTAGGGGGGTAAACGCTAACGTTAATGTGTATCACTCCATGCACCACCTAGGCTAGGCGTACCGCAATTTGTTGTTAATTTACATTGGGCCACTGCAAATGCCAATTTCCCTGCAGATCTAGCAGCAGAAAATCCAGCAGAATACATGATAGATTCAAAAGATGCTAAAAAATTATAGTCGCGAACATAGCCAACACTAGGACACTTGGAGGTCGGATGTAGTTCCTCCTGATTATGACTGGGATCAAAGCCGCACATACGCCGAAAGGCCTATGACACATTTGTTTGTAGAAACAAAATTAGTAAAGAAATCAATATTAGAACATTCTCTGAACAACATAGACATGCCGATTACAGAAGAATCAGTTTTGCACATCTCAAGATCAGGGTCAGCAGTAACATTAATCAATCTCAGCAACAGAACCCAGCAAAACTTTTAGAGCTTATAATGAATTGTTAATCTGTTAATGAGAATCCCAGCTTTAGATAGATTTTTCAGGAATCCTAAAACTGGTTTATTGAAGTCAATCAATGTTTACATTTCTTGTCGATAATGGGCCTGCGGAAGCACCAGCAAGTGAGCTGTGCCAGATGTGGGATATTAGGCTCGTAAAGTTTCTTAACATAGACAAAGTTGTCCATAAATCATTTGCTGAATACCATAGTAAACGAAATTATGTAGAAAGAGTGCATGCAGTAGAAAATAGTGATGGAATCAAAATTATTTGTCTGACCTAAAGATGCAGAAGATTATTCTACAGATTATTATAAAAACATGGAGACAATGGCAAAAGAAGTTATAGAAACCTTTAGAACAGCTACCCCATTGCAGTGCTTTAGAGGAATAAAAGACAACGAATATGTGTTCAATGATGAGGCAAATTTAAAACACTTTTTAAGCCTTAATGAAATAAACAAACAGTGACATGGCAGTTACTTTTTAACGTTACCAAGTGCA